CAAGCGCAATACTTGGTACAAAATGCAAAGGCATGTTAACATAACCAGCTGGTATAGACGCTAGCAAGTCAAGCTATCAATATTTTCATTGAATTTTCAACTTTATGTCAATAGTATAAAGGTTAAAATGTAATAAAGGAATTTGTAAACAGAAAGGTTGGTTCATCTGCTCGTCGTTGGACCTACAGGGCAACACTGTTATGCATGTATTCAGAGAAACTGATTCGATGAACCCAACCTTGACGTAATTCTTTGGTAACTTTTGTTGCTGTTATAACGAAAATGCGAAGGCCAGGAAATTAACAATATGGTGATCTCATTCATGTTTCATTTGCATACAGATTTGGGGATTGGCCTCAACATTAGTGGCCATTATGCTGGCTGGTGACGCCTACGTCCATATATTCTGCGGTCTACAGATTAAGCTGAGAATGTTTGAAAGAACGCACTTGTGAATGCAACAAGGTCAGTATTTTTGGAGATACTCCTACCTACTTAAATAAGTATTTTTTTCAAATCCATCTAACCACGCTAGATTGTCACCTCATAGGTCTCGTGGTTACAAGAGCTACGAGGCACAAGATCATTGGAACTATCCTAGGATGAGCGAAGATTTGTTGGAACCTTTTCATACTCGCGGACTCTGGATTTGCCCCCTTCTGATCGGGAATGTATGACTTTCGAATGGCTGTGACTAATATTTGCAACAATTCTGTGTCTGTATACTTTTACCTTCACCTTGAACGATAGGTGACGTAATTTAAAATTAAATGCCAACAGGCAGACAAGTTTATTCAGTGTGGGTGACTTTATAAACAGTAGCCATTGGTCTATCCGATTTCGATATTGAATGAGTAATGTCGTGTCATGCTTAGAATTAATAAGAGCTATTTTTGGCTAGATAGGCGGAAGGAATAGTGTCAACGATCCCTATTTTTATTGTATCCTGTTAGTAGTACGGATAGTAGTATACTTGCCTACTTGCGCTATAAAGTAGATTACTCACGAGTTCTTTTTAGAAAACACTAGATAAATATAGTACTTGCACGTGTAAAGAACAGCTGAATTCAAGGAAAATAAAATGCGAATAAAGAACTGAACAGCGTAGGTATATTCATTATCCACATTTCCTGGATGAAAAATATCCTTTATGTTTATCAAGCCACGATCTATCATAAGCCATATCAAATTAATTGTTTAGTAGTTCATGCGAATAAGTGAAAAGACAATCATACAAACTTATTATTGATTATTTTCTCGTATTTATTTTATGAAACTGAAGGATAAGTAAACAATGAATCAATTCGCTTAGTTTATGACTCCTAAAACACAAAATTTATTGCAATAATTGTTGGAATATGGAGATATTTTTTTTATTCTTTTGTTTAGTATCGCGTGACTAAAACTACAACGCTTGTTACTTCATTATAAGTGGAACATTATAGACTTCATGTTTTATTGTGCAAATTCGTGATGATTTCTTTGTTTCAAAGTTTTCATATTTTTGTGCCGGCAGTGGTATGCTGGATGGATATAAGACTACTCTCATTCTGTGACGATATAACTAAGCTAGATCTCGCTGTAGCAAGCACAACTATTGAACTAGTGCCGCGATATTAAACTGGGGTTTCAATTATAGAAATTCCTTTTAGTACCTACTATGGAATGTGTACCAGAGCCTGGTGTAAAGTTATAGATTAGCCCCTGCTTTGGTACTCCCTATCTGATACTCGAAATTTTTGTTTCCACCAACCTTTGAGTGTGACACCTAACAGGTTTAGACGTCATTGTGAAAACTGCAATGATTGCATCATAACAAGCAAAAAAAAATGGGTAGCTATTGCTATTTACCTACAATCCTGCATCTTTATCAGTCCATTTGGGTAATTAAAGGCGTGATGTTAAGTAGCATATTTGTAATACGTACATAGCGAACATCATTTCTAATTACAGAATGTAATGAGGCGTCAAACAGTTGTTGAAATATAAATGCCCATTGAAACTTGTCAGAGTACTTGACATGATTGCTGGACGAATTGTTATCGTCTACCCAAGTACATTTGTTCGTAGGTATTACTACTAGTAACTACATTAATCATAAATTACAATATTTAGTAGTTGTAGTTGTAATGCGGTAAACCTCAATAGTTTCCTGTTGGTGCTTATTATTAACTACGCTCCAAAGAGAAACCCGTCCTTAATTCTGTTTTATCTTTGTCCTTAATATTGTTACCGTAGGATCCGTAATTAGGTTTTATTATCTAGACCCCGACTAGGAACGGAGACGTGGATGGCTTAACGGGTTGCCGGGGCTCCGGCTCGAAGTGCAGGAGAAGGAACAGGGTGGTTTTTAGTCAGTAAGAGTCTGACACTCCCTCTCGCCTAACCCAAGGCGGGAGAAGTCATCGAACGATTCCCCCCCCCCATTTAATGTCTCACGAAAGTTATAATACCACTATAGAATTATTTCCTTGAAGAGTTTTATTTACCCTACATATTTAACTACACGTCATTTCACTACGACTGATATGGCATCGATAGGGTACCGATAGGTGTACACACCGTAGACATGTTTTATATAATCCTTTTTTGATAAAAGTGTATAATAATTATGTATATGTATTGTAATATCCTTTAATCAATACGTTATATCCTGAATATGATAATATTACTACCTTTAACAGATAAGTAACATGTCTATGTAGGAAGGTCCAGAGACTATGACCTCCAAGTCAGTTAGGAAAAGTCATATAGCTTTATTTAATGTTGAAGTCATTTATTTGCCTCGTTGGCCGGGCAAGGTGTCTCGGGTTCGATTCCCAGGTTGGGCAAAATATTACTGGGTTTTAAAAATTTCTCAGTAGTAGCACGTAGTCTGGAATTGTGCCTGGTATATGGCAAAAGGCTTACCCTCTATTACATGGGACTCAAAACATAAATAGTGAAAAGTAGGTGTTACATTGTGTACAGTGGCATTAAGTGCCGTAATGTGCACCTCTGCCTACCCCTTCGGGAATAAAAGACGTGATGTTATGTTTTATAGGCATTTTTGAAACATTCTGATATCCTGTATAAATATCATTTATTATATTCGGATAGACAAAACAGGAAAAAAGAAATTCAGAAGTCATATGACTGACCGGTAACAGTAAATAACATACAATTGTAGTGCACATTAAATATCAATTTACAAGAAATCTATAAGTCATTAAGATAAGTAATATCGCGATAGTATTTTGATATTATGTTGATAAACCCGTAATATGGTTATGCAATTAGAACTTGATAATTTATTGTAAGATTGATTTAAAATTTCTAGAAAAGTTCGTATCGTCACAAAGTTCTTATTTTAAATTATTGCTAATTTTTAGGTACACGACGACGGCTCCTGAAGGACGAGAATGTTCATTTCATTAATAAATGTAGTATTCATCATGTAAGATTAGACATTAGATACCAATTCTTGGTTACTGACAGATAAAGCCTATCTCTATGCAAAAATTATATGAAAATCGGGTCGGCTGTTTATGAGTTAAGGGTACCAAAAATGTGGACTTATCAATTTCTTGTAATTATTAAGACATCTTTTCTTGTAGATATTATTGCTTGTAAAAATATAATTTCTCAAAGTTTTAAGCGTGAAGTTGTCTATCAGTGAATGAGTTTAAGATTTGTATTATAAGATTGTAGATTGGTATATCATTTACGTCAATTGTAATCTGCGAATTTTGCGATGACATATCTACAAAAAAAAAACAGGACAGATGGCCACAGATAGTTAGCATCGGTCATCGTTCACATTTTGTTCTTTTTTTGACCGTGTGAAAGCAACTGAAGGCTTTTTGAGGAAAAAATACCAAGGGTCGTACAGTTATCAATTTTTTTCTGAGTTTTCGATGAGCAATAGCCGTGGGCATAATTAGTTTCACCAGATTGCAATGATATGCACCACAAGCAAAGTAATAAAACACCTATGAGGAAAAAAAACGATTCTTTTCTCAGTACAACATTTATTTTGATCAATAAAATTTTGATTAATGAATAAGGAAGTTCATTGTTAATCTTTTTATCTACATCATTAATAATAATTATGTAATTTCCAATGTCAAGTAATAGTAAAACGAATTATTTATTACAATAATTTCTTTATTTCTGCACATTCAAGTGCCACTAACATTATTTAATGATTAGGTAAACATATATAATAGTACATTCCAAATAACTTGACCAGTTTCGAGAGGTGTCCGACTATAACTGTCTCATTTACTTCCATTTCTCTTCTATATATTTGTCTCTCACTCTCTCTAGGAACGTCAAGTATAGAGAGGTCAAGTTACACTGGCCGTCCTGCATTGCAGTCTAAGATAGTGTATTGTAGATAAGATTGCAACACGAAATTGAGTCAATGTCACTAAGTGGATAGTTATTAGTCAAATATAGTTATCATGCAATGTTTAACGAATATATTACATTTATAAATAAACTTAGTCTAATATTGTTTGAGACTAAATACACTTGACATTTATAGTTCATTTTATATATTTTCTTCGAATTTCGTTTTAGAATCATTATGTAATAAGCTGTCTTGCTAAATATAAAACAAAAATGAGTTCCCTGCATTGATCGTGCTTTAGTTGTCTGGAGTCTGGAACGCAAACGAATATAAAAATTTGAAGATCATGAAAATCGGGCCAGCCGTCCTTGAGTTTGAAATGATGTAACTCGATTTTGTTTTTCATATCACTCAACCAACGAAGCAGTCTCCTATAGGATTCTATTCCAAAGAATATGAAATATAACCTAAATCTTCTTCTGGAACGTTTATTTAATCTTCTAACATCTATCACATAAAGATTTTTTTTCGATATACGAAGGTATGCTTTTCACCATTTTTGTTCTGACAAATCATTTATTCATTGCCTTGTACAGTGGCAGAATAGCTGATTATGAGATTCACTCTACGACATGTTTTAAGCACTCGTAACATAGATTCAACCTCTTTATGACTTCGACAGTATTTCTTTCATAGCGAGCTCTATCTTCAACTGAATACAAGCGACTCTCTCCTGAAATATCTGGTTAATAAGGTTGATTCTCTTTTGCTCCAGTAACGCATTCTCTTTGATCAGTCTTTGTCTTAACTCCTGTTCGTCTTGCACGTTGTTTTCCTTGCTATCTTTCGTCGTCTGGCCACCTTCAGCCTTATTCTTCAATGCAACATGGCTCCTAAGTTTGACTATTTCAAACTGTTCAGAGTTGATTTTCGCTTGCAGTAGCGACTTAAGTTGCAAGTACTCTGCGTTTTCAAGTTCTAATCTTAGTACTTTGAGTTCTTTTTCCGTTAGTTTAGGTTTTTCTTTGATGGGTTCTGCTGGAGGTATATCTTGGTCGGGTGTTTCTTTTATTGGGATTTCTGGTTTGAATTCGAAATTGTCTTCAAATTCGGCTTCGAAGATGGGTTCTTGGCTTGGCGACTCTTTGGAGTCTAGGAATGGTTCATTTGGAGTTTTGACCTCGGGAGGTTCTTGAGGAGTGAGTTGTGCCTCTGGTTGCAGTTGTGGCGGTGCAGATGGTTGTGAGGGTTGAGAGTTCCGCCTCACTGGTTCATCCTCCGTTTTATGTTCATGTCTTTCATCTAGCGACGCATGTTGAGGTTGCAATGAATTTTGCGGTTCTACAGATTTCTGTACTGAGCGGAGCTTCCTCTGTAAAAGATATAGTATATTAAAAACATTTAATGGGGGTAACAACAGGGAAATGAATGTCTAAGGAGCAAGTCTTTATAATTATATATTTCCTGAAACTACCAATTTATATACCACGCAGCAATGAGCCTGTCGTTTTACTCACTGAGATCAAGAAAAAATACCTACTATTATAAGAATAAAAAGAATCCTTAAAAATCACCGAGTCTGGTCTTCATTGAAGCGTCACAAATGAATTATGGTTCGCTAGTTAAAAGTTACTTTCGATTAGAAACAAGTTTGTCTAGTTTTTCGTTACCTAATCAATTAGTATCCATTACGTCAATTTTATTTGATGATTCTTCATTGATATCGGTATTACTTTGTGAGAATATTTAAATTTTAGTGAAGTATTTATTATATTATTGATTTAGTCGTCATACAAGACGTAGCTGTGGTTGAAGTTGTGGTTGGTGACATTTTTACGACATCTAATTGAAGTGTCAAATAATGCATAGTTTTTACTTACATTCACATATATTTTATATACCTGATCTTTTATTATATAACCAAAACAAAATTATGACTACCTACAATACCAACGATCAATTACTTTAGTCATCGATCGATTTTATAGATAACTCCTAGTACGTGCAGATGTAATAACATTTTATTATCTACATAAATTTCAGCTGTTTTTATCCAATAACAGAAATAAAAAGGACAGTTGTTTTACTGTTATACTTGGATAACTTGTTTTTTTATACAATTGAAAAGCTAGTGGTGAAAGGGAATCACACGTAAACTGTTAAAGAATGGGACCCCTTGCCATTGTTTCCCAGATGGATACAGTCTGGGTGTCCAATATAGTATATTAAGACTACTTAATAAGGGGCGCCGCACATGCTCATACTCGCATTCGGTAACGATACAGCGCAAATATCTGCGAAAATAAGTGTGGTGCCTTGCTTCGGCAGGAATGGAACGGCTCGATCGGAACGATACCACGGCCTCACAGAAAACCAACGACAAACAACGCTTGCGCTGTGAGAGTGGGGTTACCGGAGGCCCGATTACCCCCTCCCCACTTTCCTCAATCCCCGAATCCCCCACATTCCTTAAATTCCAAATTCTGGCCGGTAACGTACTTGTAACGCATCTGGTGTTCTGGGTGTCCATGGACGACGCCGTTTGCTTACCATCAGGTTATCAGTCTGCTCGCTTATCGGCTTATCCCATAAAAAAGTCGCTTTAATAAATATCATTAGTCGCGTCGACACGTGACAATTTACACCACCCTCTGTGTTCTTAATAAGTCGGCTAGTGCGGCAGTACTGTATAAATTACTTCCATATTCAAAATTTATTTCATGGTAGCTATCCAGTGCAGTGGTACTTATGAAACAAGCCATAATTAAGCCATAACAATTTATGATTACCTTCAGCTGTGTGACAATCCTTTGCGCCTCCCACAGTTGCTGATCCCGGGCGGGCGTGATAAACCCGGCGTGCATTTCTGCGTGTATCTGATTCAATAGAGACTCCTGCTTGCGAAGCTCCAAGCTTAATTCAGGAGCTGTCTCTGGGAAGTCAGGTGGTATGGAGGCTAAAGGTGGTACGTATCTGAAAGATAAAGTGCTTTTAAGTACAGATTCGCAAAAAAAGACTTGGACGCGATGGAACTGGAACTAATTGACTTGGACGGAATCACCCACTTCGGACTATATCCTCAAGGGTCGCGAAATGCTGCTCATGAATATGAGCCTCTAGCATGGCTTGAAACTAGTCGAGTTCCTCATCAAATAATTACGTGAGTAAGCCGAAAACATAATAATTTATTTAGTCTGTTTCACGAAATTTATAATACAAAAAATCGATTGAGTTGTAGTGTAGCCCAGGTTGCCCCAGGTACGATACTAGCGACCTCTATTATTCCAAACCTTTTTTTTGCCAAGCTGTATACATTATAGAGAAAGGAGGATGGTGAGATGTCAGATATTTATGCATTTACTATACAGGTATCTACTCTGCGTGACAGCCGAGTAAAATACATTTATTCTACGCAAATTAGGCAGAAGCAGTTGCAGCTATAGTAGAAAGTGGAATTATTATTAGCAGGTAGTGCAGGCTGGTAGTTGCTTTAAGTAAAATACAAACTGTTAAAATCCTGCCAAACTGGTTAAGATTTAGTGCCGAGTTTACAGACTCCTACCGACCCTCCAATTAATTAATTTATTTTGAAAAAGTCACAAATGTACACATTACACTAGTAGTATTATTTTTACACTCACTTCGTAAGCTGGACGTCTGGGAACAGCTTCTCAGCCTTAGAGACCAAGTAGGTGAGGAGGTTCAACGACATGTTGAGCGCTGGTCCCATTGCAGTCATTATAGTTTGAATGTTTGCGTGATTCGCCTGGAAAAACGACAAGAATATTCAATTAGACCTTAAGATACACAAAGACGGTATAATACTTTTATTATGAGCCATGTGGTGTCGCCAGATTAGAATGTCGCAGATGTAAGCAGTGTCGCTAAGGAAATCCTTAGCGACTGCTGCCCTATATCTGTCAGTTGATAGAGACCTCAGTAGCGCCTTTTGGATTAATCTGAATCGTTTGAAATGCCCGCTAACGATTTCACGTCAAATTGATTCTACATTATTAAAAGACCTCAGCGCGAAATAATTTGTTTGATATTCCACGACTCTGTATCATGCAGTCCATTTTTTTTGTGAATTTGGCTGACTGACACTTTGTTTTAACTAGACCGTTTTCTAAAACATTTTGTACATTGTACACAAAAATAAAAATATGTACCTGTTCATTAGCCACAACACATTCGAAGTGCCTGATGATCCAGCCCAGCAGGCTATAGTTGTGTGGAGGTAGTTTGGCTATGAGTGCCAACATTGTAGCCTCGCGCTGTGGCTCGGCTATAGCCGTCGCTTGTTCGAACTGTCCGTGTAGCTCTTGTGTTAATATAGAGTCCGGGAGTTCACTGAAAACATGGAAAAGTGTGATGTAATATTAAGGCAGGTAGAGGAATACTTATAAAAACCCTGTATTTTTCTTAAGACAATATACAAAATTTGTTTCTTAGTATTTTTTAACTAATTTGCTTGTTTCTTTTTGTGTTAGGTAAATTGTTGTATTTAGTCAGCGAGAACCCTTTTGCAGGTAAAGGCCTCCTCCAAGTTTGCCAATCGTCTCTTGACATAGAGGAATACTTATAACATAGCTTATTTATTAACCGTTAAGTTCAATTTCGCTAATTGGTATTTCGTTCTGGTAATCGGATCCAATAAATACTTACACTCAGGAGCATTTGGATTAGGCAATTTCTAACTAAACTAATTTATAGATGGGTAATTAGCGGTTCGAGGCGACTGATTCGGTCTGCCAACTGCATCAACTTCAATAATGAATAGAAGAAACAATACTCCTTATAGCTTAAACCCATAATTATACGCAAGATATAACGAACAAACGCCAACAAGTTAACTACACCAATCTACCCACTGTATTAATTTATTTATCGACTTTAAAACTATAAAATTGTAAATTGGATAAAGGAATTTCACAGAAAGGTCTGTAGTGTAAATAGTTCTTATCTTACCTAATAAAAGTTTTAAGCATAGCACAAGCCACGGGAACATCCCAGTGGTAAGGGAATGTAGGTCCTCTGTCCGTGAAGAGTTTCTTCAGCTGCTGCATTTTGATCTTGTCAGGTTCTGTACGATAAATCTGGTTGGATTTCAAACCGTGCGCCTGAAAATGTAGAAAGAAAAAATGTTATTGTTTTTTTACAGGAACATGATCTATATGTATAAAAGAAAGTCGTGTTAGTTACACTATTTATAACTCAAGAACGCCTCAATCGATTTAGATGAAAATTGGCAGGGAGGTAGCTTAGAACCAGGAGACGGACATAGGATACTTTTTATACACTACTTTTTTTTACTTTTTACCGAAAATCACGAACGGGAACGGGGGGAAAATGGGATTGCGCGTACGAAGTCGCGGGCAGAAGCTAGTATTAAATAAAGATGGATACCAAACAAAAGATTAGATAAGGGTATGTAAAATTATTATTTACAATTTTTGCGGGGATTGAACAAATGAGGTTGTGATCTTCTCTAAATAAATCCGATAAGTCGAGAACCTCTTCTTTCGTTTTTTATCGAATATGAAGACAAGTAAGTCTTCATACCATAATTAACCAACGAGAGAAAATTGCAAGATTTTTATTGACTTGTCAGTATAAAAACTCTAAATATCCGCTTAGTTCCACTTGCACCGGATATCAGCGGAAATGCCGAACATACCATTATAACACGTAGGTGTGTGTTTATATCTTCATTACGATTTGTTGACAACATTGTACTCTCTCACTCTCTTTTTATTAGTTATTACTGGATTAAAGAAAAGGAAGCTTATAAACGTTTGTAAATACACAATTATATTTGCTTTTACGATTAACTAGCTTCAACTAGCGGCTTCGTCCGCGTTCTCGTGGTATAAAAAGTAGCCTTAATGTGTTTTTCCTGGCCATAATCTCTCCATGTTCCTTTCTTTCAGCTGTTTTGACGAGATTCAGTAACAAGTAAACACTCAAATTCACAAACTTTCGTTTTATATAATACTAGCGGACCCGACAGACGTTGTCCTGTATATATGTATAATATAATAATAGGTATAGATAAATAACCTAGATACCGACTGCAGCGCCATCTGCCGGGCTGATTTGTGAATCTAAACCATTCCCAGATCCCCTTGAACACACACAAAAAAATTTCATCAAAATCGATCCAGTCGTTTGAGAGAAGTTCAGTGACATATACACTCACAGAAGAATTATATATATAAAGATTAGTAGTACAAAATTCTAAACATACGTTTAAAAACGGATGCATAGACTATTATACTGTGAATTTTGATAAGAAAATTATTAGGTAAAGTTATTAAACCTGCATGGTAAACAATGCATTAGTATAATCGACTCGCCTACCGTGAATCCTACTAACAAACGGCTGAATGTACGTACGTCCGTTTTACGAAATATCATCGAAGACAATTGTAAAGGAAATGTTGCAACTGTAATTGATGGTAAAATATTTTTATATGCATGTAAGTATGGAATAAATTAACACTTTTAACTGACCAATCTACTCTGAATTGTTTTTATTAATTAAAAAAAAAAGGTTCCCCACATTAGGATTTCCTGTACCGTGGGTACGTTTACAAACATACAAGTTCACATGCACATGACACTATATCCCGAAACTACAATTTGTGGATAACACAGTTACTTCGCGCGGGAATCGAACTCGCAACACGTATTTTGCAGCTGGTTGCTTAGCCACGGTGGCAGTGGGCTCAATTTGTGGTGGCAAAGCATAAAATCACAAAACTATCATAGGTACAGCTACTATGGTTCGTTAATCTAGATGCTATAGTTTGTAAAATTTTGAAACCCACAAATAAATTAAATATCTACATGGAACTGGGTACCTTATATTTACAAATCCGAAACCCCATACTTACAGAAAAAGTATTCACACGTAAATGTTCCTAATATATTTTCCATCGACCTTCTAAATTAGGATCACTTTGAAATACAACCTCCACTGGAGAAGATTTAAGGAGTTATAGCTATCTTAGTACAAAAGAAACTAATATATCATCGTCGTCTTGATAAATGCCGGCTGTTCTAAGAGCTATTACGATAATTGATTGTGGGGGACGCAGCATTGAGACTGACACTAGGTACGCAGGTACCTATTGTTTGTTGTTTATTAGTGACTATGTAGGTCAACTATGTATCTGGGTTTAGTATGGGAGAATATAGTAAGTGAAATAATATCATTAATGCGAAAACGAGTTTGTGAGTTAGTAATGCCTAAACCGATGAACCGATTTTAATAAAATTTTCCTAACTCTAATTGATGGAGATAGAATCTGAAGGTTTATTACAACGATACTAGTACCGAAAGCAGGCTACGGAGTACCTGATAACACTAAACTCAGGTATTTTTGTGAATACATAATACATTCTGGACAAAATAACATCAAAATTAACCTTTTATGTTGCTGTACCCAGAAGGGCATGCATTGTAGGCAGGTATGATCAAATCTGACGTCCAAATTAGTTATTAAAAAGTTCAAGGCTAAAATAAGTAGCAGAGTATGTTTGTCTAAATAGTACCTGTAGGTAATCGATGCTGTCTCGTACGACGAGAGGTAGGCCGGTGTCGTCGTGACATCTCGAACGCTCCACTGACTGCGCTAACGGTACGCCAAATATCGGGAGAGCCACTGGAACAAGAAACAATCAAACTATGAAAAAAATTGGCGTAACATAATCTGCTTTAGTTCTCAAATTTTTGACAGCTACCGACAATCTGTGATAGACAATCTGTGATTTGGTTGCCAAATACGTAAAAAATTGTACTAACATTTTGTAAGAATAATAAGACGTTCCTCAATATAATCTTGTATTATGTACGTACAGACCTAAAGTAGACGAATTCAGTTTAGTCTAGCAAAGAAGACTCATTAAAAATAGCTAGTTTTATTACAGGACAATACCAGTGCAGTAGGCCATCGTCTACGGTGTATTCTTTTAGTTGCCTTCTGGAAGTTTGGTGTTATGATACACTTCTAGTCTAAGCATCTACAATATATAGGTAAATAACACAAGACAGTGTTATTTCTTGACAGGTTGGTAGCAAATCGAACGATCTTGTTATAACTTTATTTTTATTTGTAAGTGGACTAAACTTGGCATTTAAGTAATTGTTAAGATATTCTATTTTTATCCATAAAAGAACATTTAAAATGTCGTACAATTCAGGTATAATTTTATTACATTACTTGAATTTTATTTTGAGGTAAGGTTACTAGCATCGACCATATTAGAGATGCAATCTTACATTTCTTAATTTTTTCTCTAATAGGCCGCGGTATTTAAATCCAAAAAGAAGTATATTTTGGAAGACCACCTAATTCTCTAATCATATGTTGCAACAGTAGTGACCGTATTTCGACATATCTCGGTATAAAATTGGCAGCGTAATCTGTTATCCAATTAATGTCTCCGACTTTTGGTAGTAACAACATGGATTTAAGTATTTATATCGTCTTTACCGTCTCGTATCAAGTCTGATTTAAAAACAGTAAACAGTAACCTAGATAATCTTGATACATTAACTTCATTTTTAAAACATGTTGATGCATAAAATATAACACACATAAACCTATTTCTCATCAAAAACTCAATAAAAATGTTGACTCTGTAAACGATGTTAGGTACACTCACGTGCACAAGTAATAAATCACATTAAAAATTCATCAGAACACATTCATGTCACATAATGATCAGAACATGTTCGCTCACATGGATCGTACAAGCAAACTCGGAACTATACAGCCATTGTGATTTTACGGTCCTTTTATGATGTCCTCTTTACAGTTTAATTGTCGTATCATTAACCAGTTGTGGATTGTACTTGAAACAGAATTGATTACATAAAACCACAGAATATTATTGCTTACAAATGATTAAATAAGGTCGATAATCGTATAAACTCACCACCTATAGTGAAGCCATGGGTAAAAGGGTTCATATTTATGAAAAAATCACGAAAAACAAACACGACCTATTCGTAAAATCGTGAGTTTGTAACTAACTACTGACAAAATACGACGATTGTCCTAAAGAATTCATGTTTACACGCGTTGTTATCAATTTACCTTGAAAAGAATGCTCTATTTTGGCATCGCAGATAATTTTTCCGATTATGGTTTTCCACAGATAATGTTGACGGTATGGAAATCAATTTTTGGACAGATAAATAAAAGTTTTTATTAAAAAAAAGAGTATTGTAGTTGAAATGTCTTAAGAAAAATGGGATTAGATTCCAACATGAAAACGTATCGTAATATTTTTGGAAGGCAAGGGATTTCACAGTCTGAATAAAAACTTCGAAAGAAGTGAAAGAAATAATTACATATAATCTTACATTTATGTATTTGTGTAAAAAAAGTCTTAAGCTTGGACCTATGTCCAAGGTACTAAACACATCCACTTTATAACGAAATATTTTGAAAGTCTCATTAATACTTTGACGAAATCTACGACCTTGGCAGTTACTCTGGCGACAACTCACAAAATAAAACTATCTATATCTAATTGTCTATTTTGTTGAAGACCCTAAACAAATAAATAAAGAGACGAAACGTTTAGCAGGAGATCGTTAACCTACAAACCAAATAAAAACAGTGTTTACCAGGTAAGCACGTCATTGCAATCTGTTGTTCGTAACGTACAATAAGACGGACACATTTTTTTTAGCATTGATTGATTTACAATGAATTTGAACGACGCAACAGTTCAGGTGTCATTAGGGTCTGTTGGGCAAAAAGTCTCAAAATATTAAATGTTAGTTGTATTACTTTTGTAAAACGAACCATATAACTAATATTCGAACAACCATCCCAAATAACTTGAAAATACTACCAATTTCTTTATTTTAGAGATGTCTCGGAGAAATGAAGTCAAAAAGGTTGTATTTAAAATATCTTTTTTGTCCAAGAAGTTAGACCATGAGCCACTTGCAGTCGGCGCATATGACCATGTGTTTATAGCAGTAATGATTTTCGCAGCCACTCTTTGATGAGTTTCATTAGTAATTAAAATTAGACACGTAAATCAGTAGTACCTTCAGACGTGATTTGAACAGTTTTAATGTATCATGGAATAAACAGGTATGCGTCTGTACGAAACTTATAGAAGATGGAATGAATCCTCTATGGATGGAAAATATAGATAGTCTTGCTCTTATTATTGACAAAAATCTGTGTAAAATTGCACAAAAATAAAACTATTAAGAACTGCTTCTAATAGGTAGGGACTGTGACATCAATACTTCATTGTCACATAAACCGCAAGATATCTACTTCTTTCTGCACTCAATCTATGTCACTTGGCACTTGTTATTCCAATCATAAAACTTAAGATAACGCTAGATTTTCCTCGAACCAACAAGCTTAATGAGAATTATGAAAAATAAATCACTATACAGATCGTTTACACGCTCCAAATCAACGTTTTATGGGATTGGCAAGATCTTGAGCTTGGAAGTCGGGCATACGACTGCTTGATCTATAATCTTGATATTCAATAGATATACGCAATAACAACAAAATAAGTATTTTTTTTAATGAGATAAACGGTAATAATCATTGTCTATAGACACCCTAAACACCAGAGGTGTTACAAGTGCATTACCGGCCTTTTGGGGATTACGAATTTAAAGGTTGTTGGGGATTCAGGGATTGTATCCTCACTTACACAATACAACGCAAGGGTTGTCTCATCTCGGTTTTCTGTAAGGCCGTGGTATCACTCCGGTTTAACCGTCCCTTTAGTGCCAAAGGATTTCTCTCCCAAAATAAAACATTCAACAATATAAAATGTCTAAATAAATATTGCTTACCTCCCAAGGTAAATATTTCTTCGAAGGGTACTCCACATGTGAATGTAGATGGAACTTTCGTCAGCTTTTTATCCTTTTTATCCTTATCTTTTTCTTTCACTTTCTCCTTTTCTTTTTCCTTCACCTTCTCCTTGTCCTTATCTTTCGTCTTATCTTTTTTCTCATCTTTCAGTTTTTCCTTAGATTCTAGCTTGAATTTTGCTTTTTCTTCTTTTTCCTGTTTTGAAAACAAGAAATTGTTAGGTGTTAAAAATGTCGGATTTATAGTTTAGTCTGTGATATCTTATCAAAGTGATCATAAAACTATTAATCACACATTATTCTCTGCATATTCAATACACAAGAATGAAGAACAATATTAAAAACCGATAAAGATAAACCACTTTACATATTAATTTTCAATAAAATTAACGCGTTTCTATTCAATATAGCTTAAGAACACAAGCACTCTAACAACAGATTAAAAAACGCGCAAACTGGTCAATTGATTGGAAACTCTTTGATAAGAAAAAAAAATAAACAACAAATGAACACGTAAAATCCGCGCACCTTTGAGAAAACATTGCGTAGGTGATGCATGACGCGTATTCGAGACCCAACTGAGCAAACCATGACCGTTCCGAACGCTTGTCCAAGGTCACTACCTACTGAATAGTGCAATTTATGCAAAACGTATCAACCACTGAACCGCGAAAATTAAACCCGACATGTAAATAATACTTGAATTAGAATTTGTACCAAATACGAAAATCAAAGTTATTTTTACCAAAGCAAAGTCGCTGTAGGATTAGTCGAAGACAAATCTAATGAAATAATGAATAAATGCGACGATTGCAAGGCTGTACGACAATGGATGTGTCACGACCCTTGCCAATAAATTTTCAACTTTATGTTTGAGCAGTAGAGAGTAGTTTCATGAAACATAATACAAGGTCGGATCGGATAATATCTCAACATTTGTCCTGGCAATTTTCTAAGTACGAGCACTTCGTTATAATTCATTCAATTCACGATTTTGTGAATAAAATGTATATATACATACATACTTTTGTCTTGTTTATTCATGAATTAAAATAGAAATTGTCATGTCGTCCTCGAATTGTTTTTACTTCTTACAAGGACAATCGATCTACAGATTAAAATTATTGTTTGCAAATGTTTCTATTCACTTGTCCCTAATATTACCTGTTTAGACTACGAAGCCTAATTTAGTAAGGACACGACAACTATGAGTACTAATCATAAGATCTAATTAGCTTACTTGTTGTGAAGGACAAAAATATTCTTTTGTAAGTGAGTCAATGTCATTTATGGCATAAAATAAAAGTTTGATAGCCAATAGTCTTAAATACGTAGGTACAATGTCGTGGTGGCCCGGAGGTTTAAGACGCCCACTTCTCATGCATGAGGGTGCGGGTTCGAAACCTACCAACAGCAAGTACCAATGTGACGTTTTCCGAGTTATATGTACTTTCTAAGATTATTCAGACACCACTGACAAACGGTGAAGGAAAACATCGTAAGGAAACCTGGGCTTATAATTTCTAATTATAAGTTTGAAATCACCAACCCGCATTGAGCAAGCGTGGTGATTAATGCTCAAACCTTCTCCTGATGAGAAGAAGCTTTGCTCAGCAGTGGGCATTTATAGGCTGTTGATGAATCGGTACTCAAACAGAACCTGAATATTTTAAAATTCAGATTTAGGCTTTATAAATGTATGTTTTATTTGAATTTCTGTTACCTACACTATATACGTAGTTCTCATATAAAAATGTGGGTGTTAGAATAGTAATCATAATTTGAACTTTATCACAAGGACATACGAATGAAAATGGCTAAAATATGAGTATGGGTATTTATTTCAATGTTCGTCATCTCCTTTGTATCATGGTGAATGTATCATAATGTGAGGTAATAAACACAAACATAGGTATATGCAGACATATAAAACACCATAATCATACAGTTAACTACAATTCTATACATAAGTTACTTTTACATATTGTTATAACTGTGTAAAAAGTTACACACTATAAGTATGTGTTATTTAATAGAAGACTTAATAATAATACATAATTAGTAATTTCTATAATAAAAATTAATATGCTCAACAAACCAAATTAGATTTTTCAAGAAACAAAATACGTCTTTTACATATATAAGAAATTCATGTTCACTTGTAAAAGCGACTCTTAGTAGAAAATATTAAAAAAATATTATTTATTTACATGGATTACATGGAGTAGTAAATACTGACCTTATCTTTCTCTCTCAACTTCTCACGTTTTTCTTTCTCCTTTTTCTCCCTTTCCCTTTCTTTCTCTCGTTCCTTCTCTTTTTTCTTTTCTTTCTCTTCCCTTTCTCTTTGCTTTGCTGCATCCTCTAATACTTTTTCTTTGTCACGAGATTTCTCGCGTTTCTCCTTACTCTTTGTCGGGAATTTAAATGACTTTGTCTTCTTGGATTTCGAAGGACTTCTGGCAAAAGCTTTCATTTTAATTATGGAAAATTATCTATTATTTGTCTCATGTTCTTTGTTACATGAGATTCATAATATAATTGATAAATAATTACTTCTGTGTTGTAATAGAAACGAGGTGATATTTGAAAATCGGTAGGTATATTTCTTAATTAAAAATAAATGACTTCAACTGTTCAATCCAATAAAATACATATTAAAAAATAATCACACTTTCGTTAATTTATTTCGTTAATTTATTTATTTCTTTGTCACGAGATTTCTCGCGTTTCTCCTTACTCTTTGTCGGGAATTTAAATGACTTTGTCTTCTTGGATTTTGAAGGACTTCTGGCAAAAGCTTTCATTTTAATTATGGAAAATTATCTATTATTTGTCTCATGTTCTTTGTTACATGGGATTCATAACATAATTGATAAATAATTACTTTAACAGGTTTTAATGTGTGACATTCTGTGTTGTAATAGAAACAAGGTGATATTTTAAATTGGGTAGGTATATTTCTTAATTAAAAATAAATGACTTCAACTGTTCAATACAATAAAATACATATTAAAAAATAATCACACTTTCATTAATTTATTTTATGACTAACTTAATTTTAGTATTTTTCTAAAAAATATTTAAGAAATATGTATGCTGATTGACGCAAAAAAATGTGACGTCACAATACACAATCTCGTACAAAATTCATAGGAAACTGTCATTACACAGTTCAAGAAATTTATAAAATTTGACTTGTTGACAAGTATCCAATTGATAAGCTAAGCCACTGCTTAGCATTATTTTTATTTTAAAATCACTATTTTACTGAGGTGGGTCAATACAGTAGAGGTAGACTATTTATCACATTACAAATAAATGGTCTATAGTTATAAAATACCTGGTCAACAATGAGTGTAATATTTTATGTACTTCAGTTTAATACTACTAGTAAATGAATAATTGAATCATTAAATTAAAGAATTATACTGACTTTGTATCAGTATCCTCTTCTGGTGAGCTTTCTCCCTCTAGTGCAGCATAGCCTCTATCTTTCTTCTCTTTCTTTTCTTTTCGTCTACCCAATAAGTCTTTCTTGCTTGGTTTTTCATGGTCAGCACCATCACTGACTAAGAGGAAAGAAAAAGAAATTAGAATTGTTTATTGAATTTAGTTATCTGACTGCACGGTTGGTGCGGTGGCTGGGCAACCGGTTGCCGTGCAACGTGTCGCGGGTTCGATTCCCGCACGGAACAACACTTTGTGTGCACCACAAATTGTTGTTCCGGGTCTGGGTGTCATTGTGTATGTGAACTTGTATGTTTGTCAATGTATTTAAAAAAAAAAAAATGTTATTGCCTCAACAAATTTGGGGTTCGCAAACCCCAAAGTGTTGAAGAAGTTCCTACAATCCTTTTCTCCAGCAAGTACCATAATATAGTTTATTCTTTTCAATTTCAGTTTTGAATGAATGAAACATTTGTTTAATACACTAATAAGTCATTTCCAGGTTCCACTTGTGTGAATAAGCATTGTGTGTTGTTATTATTCTGTTTGTTATTGTACATAATTATGACTGTACAGATGGTGCAGTATATGACAACTGGTTACTGCCCGGTATTCCTGCATGAAACTACTTGATCCACAAATTATAACTGTTCCAAGTTTATTTTTAGGTTGCTATAGTTAAATTGATATTTCTTACATGGATCTTTGGAGTTCTGAGTTGGATTATTATTGGAAAGTCTGATTGATGAATGTAGTTCAAAGGTTGAAAGGAAAGAAGTATGCTAGAATCAATCCATTAGGTTTTGAGGTTCCACCATCTCTGCCTTCATTAGCACATGCGAGGAGGCAAGCGTAGACAACATAAGGAAAAAACTGTCTTCCTGGGAAATATTTCTGCTATGAATATAATCAATAGCGTAAATAACTTAGTAAATATTCCAATAATAGTACTTACAGTCACTTTCATTGCTTTTCCTGCCACTCTCAGATGCATATAAGCCAGGAAAATCCTTTTCAACGTCCGGACTTTCAAAATCCATGACTATGATCGCAAACTGCGCCTATTAATTAGTAATTTCAATCAAGTAAATTACTGTTTTCTTTCGGCAAAACATGAAACCATTTTATGTCATATATTACTCACAGATAACATATTTCGTTTGACGTTGACAACAACGATAACTGTCTGTCATATTTTCACAGCAAGTCTGCCATAGGTCTGCATTGCAGCAACAAGTTCTTACGACAAGTTCCCACTTCTATCTCCGTATGCCGCTTCCATAACAAAATTGAAGAGTTTTTCACAACTTTAACCTATTTTGTGTACCCATAAAGCAATTGAATGCCTTGAATATTTTGAAATTGAAAGATTTGTAAAAGTTACCAATTAAGTTATCGATTACAAACTTTCATCGTTACTAATTTCCGGTTCGATTCGATTATTTGACATTTCATTTTCATTTACAAATTGATTCAAGAAGTTTTGATGTAATGATGGATGTTTACGTGTCAGCTGTCACGGAGATGTTTTGATTACAAAAAATAGATTGGAGAACCCATTTCATCTCGGCCTCCCGTTTTCCTGATGCCCGGTATGTATTGTTATTCGTGGTTTCATGGTACTACGCATGTAGCAGGCATATCGTTTTATGGGTCGTGATATGATGTGATGATAACGTTGGTTTCAGGCAATAAGTAATTTGTATAAATGTCATGGTTCGCGGACCTTGCCGGGAAGGCGGAGAGCCTCCTTAACAACCTGGATGAACAGACTGGCGCGGCTCTGCGCCATCATAACGTTTCGAGGAAAAGCAATGTACCAGAATTTGTTGTCGGTCATACCACCGAGACTGTTTGGGCGCCAAAGAAACGAATAATGACTCGCAATAAAAAAGCTACACCGATACCAGCCAGTCGCAAGTCTTCACCAACGTCACATCATCAGCCTCGAACAACAATCAAGGATAATGCAGATTCTTCAAGGAATGGTTCTATCAAGTCCAAGATATCACCTTCTAGGAAACCTAGTCCTCACCGTCAGTTCAATCTGGAACAGCAGTGCCCTAGAACATTAGTTGGAGATGTGAAAGACAATGACTTGTACGAAAATTATGGTTTGAAACATAGGAGTAAGTACACATACTATGTATACATTTAATACATTCCTTAAACTGTCAAGTACCAAGCGGTCACCGGTGACCGCGACCTATTGTTCTTTAATTGTGTCTATAAAACCGGTACTCGACGAGTTAAAATAAACTCTCCATGTGCATGCGGGAGCGGTCTGTAGATGTAGATAGGATTTCAACAATGGTAATTTAAAACTTCTTTAAAGAAAGATTCTTTATAAATTATTCAGCCAATAAGAAATCTACATACTGATTTCACAACTTTCACCAATGAAAAGCATGTTTGTGGGAAATGTCATAATTTATAATGAACGTGGAAGACCTAAAGAAAGTAGCTGAATTGAATTAATTAGTTATGCAAGTATGTACTTGTATGAATATAAAGATTATTTTTTGGGGATAGCAATTTTTTTATTAATTTTGCTTTTTATGTTTTTTATTAATGTTAGTTTGTAAAACATCATTTAAAATGTATATAGTAACATATTTACTGTTAGATGTCATAATATTGTTATTTATTAACATTACAACTTCATAACTATTTACCTGAAGTTCCTTTGCCTTTTTTATGGTATTAGTTGGCAAATGAGCTGTCAGAGCACCTCATGGTAAGCAATCAGTGCCATCTTTGGTCACACCCTACAATATCAGAGGAGTTACAACTGAGAGTACCTTCTGAATGTAACATTTACATGTTACCAGTATACAATTTTTTTTACAACTTTTCAGGGTTCAGTTTACCATCAGACTTGGAACTGTTAAATGGTGAAGAATGGACGTACAAGATGCAAAACATGGAGGTAGAAAATGCAATGCTGAAGAACGAACTGAATGTAATGAACCGAGAGGTCGCTGAACTATTGGACAGGTTGCGGAAGACAGAGGATGGTAATGATGTGCATAGTAAAGGTACTTTTGTTTTTTAAATTAGTTTTGTCATGCATGGACTGTGGTTTTTGGTGTGCTTAAAAGGTTTGGAATTTATTTATGTAAATTTTACTAAGATCTTACTTCGTATGGAGGATTATGTATATTGTGTATTGTATTTTTGTATAGCTTCAATTTAAAGTATGATTTTACTAGGTACTGTATTATTTTATGGATAATTTTCGGACATAGTTTGTGTCTAGAAGCTTAACCTTTGTTTCTTGCTTAGTAGCTGTCATACATCCTTTTCTCATGATGCTGGGAAATATAACTAATAGATATATTATTTTTTCTTATTCCAGAAGTAACGAAAACTCGCATAAAACAAGAAACAACTGATGTATTAAATCACCGTTTGAATTTGGAGAAACAAACATTGTCGTCACAAGTGGAACTGCTGTCGGTCAAAATTCAGGAGCATACTAATGCAGAAGTATCAAAGTTTAAAGAATTGAACCAAAGATTAGAAACTGACGTTACTGTATTGAGGAGCCGAAATATAGAGTTGGAGGAAAGGTAAGTTTTTCATTGTTGGTTTTGTAGGCGATAATGCCACTGCTACAAGCTAGGAGTAACTGACTCGAATTTAGAGTGAAACAAGTACTTCATTATGATTAAGTTATGTTTAATCTTTGGTTTGTGGAACATAGATCTATTCGAGACACAATGTGTTTCCTAATATTGCTCATATAACTTATGACATGAGGTTAAAGTCAAAATTATATACTGCTATGATTATAAAAATCTATAACAGTTCAATCAAAATTCTATAGCTATAAATAATATACGTAATTTATTTGCTGTTTGTTAAGTGTTTAATCAGCTCTTAAATCTTACTAATTACTTCCAAGCAATCAATCGACAGTATGACACATGATGTAAGCATAACATGCTATTAATGTTTTTCAAATTAAAGTCTCGATAAATCATACTTGCAGATATTATTATGTCTACTGCTAAATTCCATGCAATCTCTAATTTGATTGATGAGGATATCAATGAACTATCTCGTTGGTTCAGTGGACACAACACCTCGCCATTATGACATAAAATCTCGCCATTTATCTCTGAAGGGGTATGCAGAGGTGCACTTTATGCCACTGTACAATGTAACACCCAATTTCACTTTTTATGTCATGTGTCCCATGTAATAGGGGGTGAGCCTATTGCCATACACAAATGTTACTGCTGAATATATGCTTTCAGAATGGCGTTCTTGGTTGAATTATATTAAGTTTTCGATTTCGAAATTATTATTCATGAATAACGCCCGAGCGACTCGTTCGTTAGATGTAGACACACCTTTAGAATACTTATATTATTTTCAGATGTAAAATATTATCAGAAGCCGCAAAAGATAGGGATGCAGTGCAAACCAAGCTTGAAAATGATTTGAGACATGCACAATCTACTATAAGTGAACTACAGGGTAACTTGCAAAAGACTACGGAAGAATGTAGGAGATTGGAGAAAGACTGGGAGTCTTATAAAGTGAGAGTGAAGAATATGCTGCAAGCTAAGGATGCGGAGATAAAGAAATTACACGAAGGCTTAAATTTTAGTGAGGATACTAAGTCGTTGATAGCGCAGATGGAGCATTTGAAGTGAGTGCATTTTATTTTTGATTTAAAATAATATTTTTTCCTTAACTCTTTTAGGTATAAATTTTTCTGCCAATTTTATATTTTCTGTGACATAATTATGTCATTATGTAAAAGTAATTACTTTTACATGCTGATATTCATTGCGTATCCGACTACTTTCGATCTCGACCGGAGCCCTTAGCTATACAGTCGATCATTATTACCTGTGATTGAGTATTTTGCGCAATAGTTATGTTTTTCATAATTGTTAACAGAGAAGAACGCGACGAGCTCCACGACGCGGTGTCAGGCATTCGCGCGGAGTGTACAGATATGAAGCAGTATTTACAACAGGTGGAAGTTAGGCACGCGGCCGCTGAGCGCGTGGTGGCCGCGCTGAGGGACGCGCTGCGGGAGGAACGCTCGGCCAGGAGCCGGGCTGAGACACAGTGTGTAGCGGTTGCTAAGGTGAGCTATAAGAACTGTTATTATTTGTATTATTTCTGTCATCTGCAAATTATTGAGACTTTGCGTTAAGGGACAGGGTAGTAATATTAGGTAATTGTACAGTTATGAATGAGTAAATAACTATTCTTCGTCACAAAAATGTAAACCTTCTTCATATATGTTACTGATAGACTGTGTTAGTTTTCGAGACAGGATTGATTTTAAGCTAGTTGAACACATATCATGCTAAAACAGAGTTTTTTTATAAACCAGAAGAACGATAAACAATTATTCATTCAAGTATTATTTTTTCTTATAGGAAATGAAAGCCATGCAACTGGAGACAGGTCAGACAATAGCCAGTTTACGAACAGCCTTGCGGGATAAAGAGCACGAACTAATCCATCTCCGCGACACGACCTCCACCGTCCGTAGCACAGACACGAGTGCACTCAACGTCGCAGACTATGACGTCATGCAGGACACCATAGAAAACAACAAGATAGACTACCTCACTCAAACCCTCGTCCAGAGACAAACGAAAATCGATAATTTATTGGCCGAAAATAATATGCTTAAGATACAACTGGAGAAGTTAGAAGTGAGTATATTTTTATCTTGTTGGTCTTAGCTTAGCAAAAGCTCCAGTGTTAAGCATGAAATTCAAATTTGGTTCATGGCTTCATGTTGAGGATATTGAGCTGTTTCAGTTCTACTTTATTTTTTTCAAAACCTCATACTATTTGTGAATTGTCGTGAGTGTGTTTACAAATAAAACAACTCCTAAGCCTAAAACACCGATTTACATACATACATACATACATACATACATAACATCACGCCTTTTATCCCCGAAGGGGTAGGCAGAGTGCACGTTATGCCACTGTACAATGTAACACCCACTTTTCACTATTTATGTTATGAGTCCGATGTAATAGGGGGTGAGACTACTGCCATATACCGGACACAATTCCAGGCTCCGTGCTACCACTGGAATTAAAAAAAAAACATTAATAAATATTTTATCCGACCCGGGAATCGAACCCGAGACCCCTTGCCCGGTAGTCGCACTTGCGACCACTCGGCCATCGAGGCAGACTTTATTATATTGGCAACTTTATTACTTTAAAATAGCATTTAAAATCGTTTGTACTTTATTATTAAAGAAAATATTTCCTGTTTTTCACAGTCAAAACTAAAAACGGACCAATCGCTGCAAAGGTTGAACTCTCACAGTGTAGTTCACTTACAAGATGGTGACGGACGTCGGTCGAGACAGGTTCCTTCTACACTGTCCGCGCTCTCATTGCGGATCGGGATCATGGTCAAACGATACCCAGTACTTAGGGCGTTCGTTATTGGGTATATGGTAAGTGTATAATTACTTTGACTACGATTTTGATTACACGAATTTGTGAGTAGAGAACTATGTTAAGAAAACTTTGTTCCCTCCCTAGGTTATCCGTCTAACAGTCAGTTTCTATTTTAAAAGTTTAACCTTTTTCTTAAATATGTCGTAAATAATAGATGTATATAATACTCTTTACTCAAACTGATTCTTCGAGAATGTTCGACTAGTTTCGAGCCATACCGGGACTCATTCAGGAACTACGTGTGCAGCCAAGTCTTATGATCTGTTACATTATATATTTGTATTGTCAACAGATCTGTCTACATTTGTGGGTCCTCACCGTATTGTTCACAAGCACACCAGAAGATTACGTTCCGACCTCAAAATCTTAAACCTGTGTTACATAATAATATTCATAAATAAGCTATAAACCTACTGTAACTATAGAACATTATACATTTCATTAATGAGGACTCATTGCATACACCAATAAGGACTAGACCGTAATGAATTCAGTGCTGTTGCTCAAAATTTGCTAGTGTCACACTATTGGACAATACATTTTGATAACTATAGTGATTGGACAGTTTGCCTAAAGCTACTCTAACGCAATCTCGCTTGCGGAAATGTTTAGTCCTCTTTACAAATTGATTTTGAATAGTTAAAATAGGTTTGTCGCTTCTTTATGAATAAGTTGTAAGTCTTTAGTGTTTACAAAATATATCTGTATATAAAATATTCCATTAGTATATTGTATTCCATATGAACTAGGTAAGTCAAATTGAATTTGCAATTCAGTTGAAACGGTTAAAAGCAATTCACAGAGCTTTAAGTTATGAAATACTGCGTATAGTTAGTTTATATTGAGGGAAAATAGTATTACCACACAATTTAACTAAATAATTCGATTAAAAATCTATGAAAAGTGGAAATTTGCCATAAAGCAGACCATTACCGACCTTATGCCGGTTGGCATACAGCTTATATTGGATTAGATATCTTTACAATCTTATGAAGTTTATATGTGATTCGATGACAAATAACAAGTTAGAAATGTCTATAATATAGCATCATTGAGGTAATATCACGTGGTCTACGTGAATTAATTTGAAGCAGCAGCATTTGTTTCGTCTCAAAACAATATTTTTAATGCATAAATGTATATGGTATCCTTGTAAAAACTGAGCTATTGAAAATTCTATCATGACATAAGAATAACAAATAGAAAACTTAGAAGTATAAAATGGTTTTCTATGTATTCCAAACTTAGTTAATTTATCTCTACTAAGCTGCGTGATTTTAAATTAGCAAATCCAAGTATTTTTGTATTAAAAAGTCATTATAGGGGTGTAGTATTTTAGATGTTAAATCCGTAATTCGTATTTATTTAATATTTATTATTTCATTAGTATCTTGATTCGTGGTGCTAAATGAATTTAAAAATTACTATGTATGTATTTATGTATATAGATAACGAATCTCGACAGTGCTTTAATAATTGGCCATATATTGTACCTAATTTGTTGTCTTTATTTATTATTGTATTATAACTGTTGACTTACGTTTGGTTAAATTTTGAAATTTATTTTATGTTTCTTATTGTTATTTTGCCGACTGACGGGATCATGGGCTAAATAAAGTGTTTATAAACTTGTGTTTGTGTTTCAATCACCATTTTTATATACCTATACATCTATTTCTTTTTTTAGAAGATGAATATCATCCAGCGACCTCTCCGCCTTAGGTTAATGTAAAAATTAACTATTGATGGTTTTTTCTTGTTGAGGGAAAATCATCCAATGACTTCTCCCGCCTTGGGTTAGGCGAGAGGGAGTGTCAGACACTTACCTACTGTCTAAACCCACCCCGCTCTTACTCTTGCTTTTGCTCTTCGAGCAGGAGCTCCGGTAACCCGTTAGGTTAGTATCCTTGTGCGACTTCGTATAGGTACCTGGATTATAAATAATTTGTAACGTACATTGTCAAAAGTTCTAGTATTGTAATTCTCAGATGGCGCTTTCACCTTATGTGGCCGAATGGTCGTACACAAGACGAATCCGAAATTATTTTAATTTCTACAGATTCTTAATTCAATAAAACCGTTAAGTTTTTTTAATCGTGACTGACTCGTTGAAAAAATTAATTCGAAATATCTTAAAAATCATGAATAGCTGCAAATAGAATAAAACAATCCATATCACTTTCACGTTCCATAACATTTTTGTTGTTTTTGTTGACAAAAATATTTATATTATTTCTTCGCATAAAAAATGATTTAATACGGTATTTGCGTAATCAGAAAATGACTGTGGGAAATCCATTTAATTTAGAATTCACGGTAAATCCATTACTTACTGAGTTCAAACCTGAATATCAATGTAGGTATGACTAAGTTAATTCCTATAGTTAATACAACATACGCACGAATTGTACGGTATATTCGTTTTAATTGTAAGAAAATACACTGTTTTGGGAGACTGGTTAAACCTCACCCAGGCGAGAGGAGAGGATTCTATAACAAATACGATTGTAATGTTATTTAAATTTCGTAGATATTTATAACAAACATGTGCAAACAATGATTCTACTGATATCTATCATTCGTGATTTAGTTACTCACATATATGACTGTTTATTTTCCTGTCTAGTGCGAAAACTAAGCTAAAAAGTAATGCTATATCATTATCAGAAAACCGACGTGAAACAATGCTTGCGTTGTGTTTCTTCCTGTGAGTTAGGTTACCGGAGGCCCAATTACCACCCTCCTTATTCGCCGGTTGGTAACGCACTTGTAATGCGTCCGGTGTTTCGAGTGACAATGGGCGGTGGCGGCGCCGATTGTTTACCATTCGGTGATTTGTCTGTTCGCTAACCAGGACATCTGATAAATAAATATCATCAGCTAGTAATAGTCCACTGGTCTCATTCACACAAAAGGGGTTTCCCATAATTACCACCCTCGGCAGGCTTGTTGCAGATCGTAAGTAGTTTAAAAGGTGCAGGTTTATCAGAGAGCGCTAGTCCTTAGCCCTTATGATATGAATTTTGGTGGTGACGAATGGGTTCTCTCCACCACACGGCAAAGGTATGTTGCCTATGTTTGGAATTTTTATGATTGTAACGAGAATTCCAAACGTATCTTGGTTTATTCAATACAGGAAAAAAAACAGAAGGCTTTTGTGGTTTATACCTATCCAGTGACCACAAGCTTTGTTTATAAAATTACTGCTCCTTCATTGGACGATATAAGCTTTTTTGCACAGTCGTGGTTGCCTGGTTGCATTTACAAACACAAAAGTCTTAGACTCGGTACAACAATTTAGGTATACCAAGGTAGGTATACCAAAGTAGCTAATTTTAGCAAAGAGGAGGCTGCCCAGCTTCATGTGTTCTGATTGAGAAACTGCACTAAGAATTGCACTTTCAGTTCTTAAAATGCAGAACCAGGAGTAAAACTGTAGGTCTGTAGGAGTCTTGTAGAAAGAAATTTGGCTTCGACACAGCCACAGATGATCTGCTATGCTATTACCAATTCTTATTAAATTGATAAGTAGCTCTCCATAACCGTCGATGATCTACATACACGGTACCTTATCAAGGCACCACTCTGACAAACTTCAGTTCAGAAAAAACAAGATTGTTATTTTCATAACAGATTACCTGATTTTTTGTTTAAAGATGAAAATCATCCAATGACTTCTCCCGCCTGGGTGAGGCGGGAGGGAGTGTCAGACTCTTACTGACTATAAACCATCCCCATTCCTACTCCAGCACTTCGAGCCAAGGTTACCTTAAAATGGTAATACCATAAAATGGTAATTCTGGTTAAAAATAGTTTTAGGCGTACAACAGGCATAAAATGAAATAAACAAAGAAAAGAATCGGTTTTATCTCGATGGAATATAAACTACGTTTATTGAGGACATTGTACAGTTATAAAAGTATTTGCAAAAACAAGTCTTAAGGAGTTGGTCTCCTTTCGAAAAATGCATTAATTTTATACGGAGGAGTTATTTTTATATTTCCAAAAAATAACGGTTTCCAGTCCTTACGTTCCACTGGAAGTAGGTTAGGTTAGTAATGTAAAGCAGGCTACTTTGTACTGAGAACATTACCTCTATACTCAGGTAATTCCATGCAAGTATGTAGGTATCATAGATAGGTGTTCTAAGAAAAATCTTAGAGGTACGATGTTAAGATCTCTAAACACCTTGAGCTTGTATGATCACGTACCGGCTATTAAGAATTATCTCCTTTTCTTAGAAACGTATTAGTAGTTTTGTTGAAGTACTTAGTTAACGATAAAATATTTTTCCTAGGTAATTGATACAAATCTTAGGATAGTGAAAGGATTGCCCAGTTAAAGCAGGAGTATTATCTTCCTCTAGTTTACCGTCGTGCGTCATCTAGAATTCTAATTCGTGCGGCCTTCTGTTTGCTGTGCCGTGGGTCCGATACCCACATCGTGCAAAATGCAGAGAGATACGGAGCCGCGGGAGACTTAACGAGTTGTCGGGGCTTCGGCTCGAAGTGCAGGAGCAGGAACGGGTTAGCTTTTAATCAGTAAGAGTCTGACACTTCCTCTCGCCACACCCGGGCGGAAGAAGTCATTGGATGATTTTCCCCCCTAAAAAAAGATTTTAGCCCATAACCCCTATTTTGGAGTAAGTCAAGCGATCGGTACTCGTAGTCAGATACAGTTTACCAACAATGCCAACATGAACAAGGTAATCAGGATATATCAAGGGTTTCGGAGGAATGAGTGCAGTAGAACCAGCGCGGGAACGTAAGGAGGATCATTTCCTTACGCCCTCAGAATCAGTGTTGTATGACGTATGTATGTATTGTATGACGGTTCCAATATTAACGAACCGATTTATTCCCAGCATATTATTTAATGGAAAACATTGCATCAATAAAAGGTAGAGCGTCCTCGAAAATTATCGACGGTCCTCAATCACTTTCGAGAGTTACTCGAAATCTATCGAGCGTTCTCGAAATCTTTTGAGCGCCCTCGATCACTTTCGAGAGTTACTCGAAATCTATCGAGCGTCCTCGAAAACTATCGAGCGTCCTCGAAAACAATCGAGCATCCTGAACACTTTCGAGCGTCCTCGAAATCTATCGAGCATCCTCGAAAACTATCGAGCGTCCTCGATCACTTTCGAGCGTCCTCGATCACTTTCGAGAGTTACTCTAAATCTATCGAGCGTCCTCGAAAACTATCGAGCGTCCTCGAAAACTATCGAGCGTCCTCGATCACTATCGAGCGTCCTCGATCACTTTCGAGCGTCCTCGAAATCTATCGAGCATCCTCGAAAACTATCGAGCGTCCTCGATCACTTTCGAGCGTCCTCGATCACTTTCGAGAGTTACTCTAAATCTATCGAGCGTCCTCGAAAACTATCGAGCGTCCTCGATCACTTTCGAGCGTCCTTGAAAACTATCGAGCGTCCTCGATCACTTTCGAGAGTTACCCGAAATCTATCGAACGTCCTCGAAAACTATCGAGCGTCCTCGATCACTTTCGAGAGTTACTCGAAATCTATCGAGTGTCCTCGAAAACTATCGAGCGTCCTCGAAATCTATCGAGCGTCCTCGAAAACTATCGAGCGTCCTCGATCACTTTCGAGCGTCTTCGAAAACTATCGAGCGTCCTCGATCACTTTCGAGAGTTACTCGAAATCTATCGAGCGTCCTCGAAATCTATCGAGCGTCTTCGAAAACTATCGAGCGTCCTCGATCACTTTCGAGAGTTACTCGAAATCTATCGAGCGTCCTCGAAAACTATTGAGCGTCCTCGATCACTTTCGAGAGTTACTCGAAATCTATCGAGCGTCCTCGAAAACTATCGAGCGTCCTCGAAATCTATCGAGCGTCCTCGAAAACTATCGAGCGTCCTCGATCACTTTCGAGCGTCCTCGAAAACTATCGAGCGTCCTCGAAAACTATCGAGCGTCCTCGAAATCTATCGAGCATCCTCGAAAACTATCGATCGCTCTCGATCAGTTTCGAGAGTTACTCGAAATCTATCGAGCATCCTCGAAAACTATCGATCGCTCTCAATCAGTTTCGAGAGTTACTCGAAATCTATCGAGCGTCCTCGAAATCTATAGAGCATCCTCGAAAACTATCGAGCGTCCTCGAAAACTATCGAGTGTCCTCGATCACTTTCAAGCGTCCTCGAAAACTATCGAGCGTCCTCGAAAACTATCGAGTGTCCTCGATCAGTTTCGAGAGTTACTCGAAATCTATCGAGCGTCCTCGAAATCTATAGAGCATCCTCGAAAACTATCGAGCGTCCTCGATCAGTTTCGAGAGTTACTCGAAATCTATCGAGCGTCCTCGAAATCTATAGAGCATCCTCGAAAACTATCGAGCGTCCTCGAAAACTATCGAGCGTCCTCGAAAACTATCGAGCGTCCTCGAAAACTATCGAGCGTCCTCGAAAACTATCGAGCGTCCTCGAATACTTTCGAGAGTTACTCGAAATCTATCGAGCGTCCTCGATCACTTTCGAGAGTTACTCGAAATCTATCGAGCGTCCTCGAAAACTATCGAGCGTCCTCGATCACTTTCGAGCGTCCTCGATCACTTTCGAGAGTTACTCGAAATCTATCGAGCGTCCTCGAAAACTATCGAGCGTCCTCGATCACTTTCGAGCGTCTTCGATCACTTTCGAGAGTTACTCGAAATCTATCGAGCGTCCTCGAAAACTATCGAGCGTCCTCGATCACTTTCGAGAGTTACTCGAAATCTATCAAGCGTCCTCGAAAACTATCGAGCGTCCTCGATCACTTTCGAGCGTCCTCGATCACTTTCGAGAGTTACTCGAAATCTATCGAGCGTCCTCGAAATCCATCGAGCGTCCTCAAAAACTATCGAGCGTCCTCGAAAACTATAGAGCGCCCTCGAACACTCGAGAGTTACTCGAAATCTATCCTAGAGGAAGGAGGAGACGCTTTGGGTCGCGTTGTCGGGATCTCCGGCCAGTACGGCGTACACTTATGATACTTGCTCATAAGTACCATACCCGAGTGTACGGCGCGGCGTGTAAAATGCCATCAGACCACCATGATAGACGAGGCCCACCAGGATTGTTGCCTTGCTGGAGGGTTTTTTTTTGTTTTTTTTTTTTTTTTTTTTGCTGGAAGGTAGGTTGTGTCTGGGCTGGGTCTGACTGAGCTTTTTATTTAGTAAGAGTTGTAAGAGTCACTTTCTCAAGAGTTATTTTGATGACTTTTTACCCACCCAACAAAAACGTGGGCGGCAAAATTGCGGTCGCTCGAATAGCTAGCGGCGGGCCTGTTATAAAATAAGGGAAAAAGGAAGTCTCCATTTTAATCATAATTATTACTTACTAATAGTTCAATGACTTGGAAAAATCCTATTTCCTAAGTTATTAATAGAGACAACGGACTTCACATAAGTCATAATAATTCCCACTTCTTTATCTGTTTGCTGCTTAAACCTATTTCAAAGTACTTCCTAAGCTATTATGGATTAGCTATTTCAAGTATTAGAGGATGCCCCCATTCCCAAATTTATATTAATTTTGTATGTGTATTACTCTCTTCAAACCATCTTTATTTCCTTTCTTTGAGATAATTATCAAACCAAAGATCTTGTTGTCTCACTTCTCCCACGATTATACCAAATAAATAATTTATTTAAAAGAATCCGTTATTAGTTGAAGTGTTACAACTGCATCATAAAATGGACGATAGCTAATTGAATGTGCAGTCAGGTCACGACCGATGTCATTCAATTACGATTAGTTTGGGTTTTCCCAATCCAAAGGAACCCGTTTTAGAGAGAAGCTTATGTTTTGCTTGTCGGTTCAGAATATATGTGTGTTTGTAAATAAATGAAATCAGTATACTTACATATATTTCTTTTAAGGTATTGTTTCATTTAACACATTTTTTTTAAGTTTTTGCCATCCATTTACTACTACACCGCTGTAGGTAGGTCTGCAGTCATGTCATCATGAGTGACGTGCTGCCAGACCACGGAGAAATAAGACCATGATAATAGCGTAGACAATGTTTTAAGTTCATATATCTATGTACACTATTTCGTCTTATTTCAACAAAAAACTTCCCAAAATTCAGTCTTTGTTACGGAAGGTCATCTTTTTATTCCGGTTGAGGTTTAAAATTCATTAATTTACCCTTTTCATATTCCTAAGTTTGTATCGTATGCATGGCAAGAAAGCCATATCAACCATTACATTAGTTAAGCAAATCTAAGGTCTAATGACCTTACCTTAAATTTCAAATTTGTTTTGTCATCTCATTAACAGATGACATACAACGACGATAGAATGAACATTGCTAGTGGCGCTATAGGTGCAAAAACTGCATGAGTCATAAGGATGTAACGTGGTAAAGAACCTTTTGAAAAAACTTAGTATTTGCTTATTGACGTAGATGATTTGCTGATTTCAAATAACACTGTACAAGATAATAGAAATAAAATAAATAATATATGAAATATATTAAGAGACATTTAAACAATTTCTGAAAATTCCAATTCGTTAAATGAGCATAGCTGTCAGTATATTTAATTGCAGCTTTATTTAAAGCAAGTGCATAAAGATTATACATACAGCCATATGATAATCTGTTGGAAAGTCCAGAAGTGGATGTCAGATTAATATGTGTCCCGGCTCCTGACACGTTGAACGATACGGAGACAGATTAAAACAAACATCAGCCATCATTACGAGAGCCGTTGGACCTTTATTCGACGTCGTACGTTGATAAACCGGTCGTACTGATGTCAGAATATAATGAAACGTCTCTCGTCAAGCAGTGTGGAGTATTGACGGTACTTAGTCGCGGTTTGCGCCTGGACTAGTGAACTCGCGTCTGATAATAATGAACGTAAAATAAACGCGAGTGCACAAACTTAGTTATAGTTACAATAGTCAGAAGGTCTGATCGTATAGTCCGTATAATTAACGCTTTGAACTTAGTATTTTGTGGTTTTCCTCAAACTGTGATTACGATGACTTCGAGATTTTTTGTTTTATGCGCTGGTAAGTTTGGTTTTATTGTATTTACTTCCATGTTATTTACTATTCCGTCAATCTATCGTGGAATAATTAGTTTACAAGTTCCTTTAGTATCGTTGTTTACCCTTTAAAATGATGTAAGGTCATCATTATTGATTGTATTATTGTATATGTTGGTATACATGCTTCTTATAATAACTTTGTTTTTTGTAAGTCCGTCGTGTCAATGTTGGTATTATATGAAGCCACGATGAACAAAACTTCGTTTACCTACAAAATACAAGTTTTTGTGACATTGAAATTGTAATGGAACTAGTAAAACATTGTTTCTATGTAATTTAAGGTTGAGTAAGTAATTAATTTAGATTTTTTAATTTTATGTAAATAAAAAAGGGTGTGTAGGGAAACCCCGGTAATTTTATGTATTTTTTTACGAAGTTCGAAATAATTAAACTGCCACTGATACCTATTATGTTGCTAGGCTACTGCACTCAGTACTAAATTCAATTCTATCACCGGGTTTTTACTCTTTTTATTGATCACACGTTTGCAGTGTATGTTTACGCCCAAGAGAAACGTGACTTGATCTTATCTTTTGATTATTAAGCTTATTGAAGTTAGTTCGAACTTTGATATTGTAAAACGGGGTAGATAAAATTCAAGGGGTAAATAAATACAGGGATAGAGTGAATAGATGTTCGAATGTTTCCCCAACATTTATTCACCCCTCAAATTTTATTCAAGCTTCCTTATGCGAACCGAAAAGGAATACAACTCCTTGCCTCCTTACAATCTGTGTTTCCTGAAAAATATGACTTGGGTGTCTTCAAGTCCCGAGAGAACAGGTTGCTCATAAGTATGCGTGCTCCATCATCGGCCACATCATCGCTTACCACCAGGCGAGATAGTGGCCAAACGTCGAACTATCAAGTATATAAAAAAAATACCCCGTTTTACCGTATCCAACTACCTACAGACAAACCCAAATAACTTTATTTGGAGACTATCTTGACCTACTCCGATAATATCTAGGTATATACCGTGATGTTCCTAATAAGGGACTAATTGAAAGATTTGTTTATTTGCAAGCTTTGGGGCGAACTGTCAACCAGTAGTGTTGTAATCGAGTTTACCCTCAGGTCTTATTCCTCTTTGGTTCTTGGTCCTGATTTATACTTTGTTTTACCATTTTTGCACAATAATACACTTAATCTTGCAAATTCGATCAAAACCTCTGTACTAAGTCGGTAAACGAATTATCCAAACGATGCCCTAACATATCGTTTTTTTGTTAAGTGTTCTGTTTTTCCCCGAAAACATATTTTGATTATATTTAGCTAATAGGAGTTAAGCTGATGCAACTAACTCGGTGACCAGAGATATGTGATACATACCACAGGTAAATTAAGTAGACATCTCCAAAATCCTGCCTATAATTATAAACATAGAAAAATTACATTCTATAATTTTGAAGTATTTCAATCCACGTGATTGGTATTTTAGAAACAAATGTTTATCATAAACCACTTTATACCAATTTGATACGGACCTTAATGATTCTTTCCTATACCTAGTGACCATGTCAGTTTAAATACTAACATGCTTGTTTTGGTTCACGATAGCATTTACTTTAATGTCGAAGAAGTTTTGCATATTCTTTGCACGCAAAATCCTGATCTATTGGTAAAAACCTAACGTTCTGCGTCATTTTGCAAATACAGCACAAAACAGGTTTGGGTTTTTGAAACCAGTTTTTTTTCTTGATTTACGTGCTTTATTAAAATCATTGTCATCGATTATTTATTTTATAGGCAGCATATCAATAATTTATGATTAATTTACCATATTATGGTAAATATGTCATAGGTATGGCCTTCGTACGATGACAAATTCACTTAAATTTCCCATGTTGTTATGAAGATTTGATGACCCTGGTTACAAAACTAAACGTAAAAATTCTTCGATCACCTTTACGAACCGTGTGAAAATGGACGACGGGCAAGTACAATATACCTTCTTGAGGAGTAAGATCCCATTAAGGCTAAATACTACGCCACATAGTCAACGATCTCTGATTAACCAGAACAAAACCCCTTAACAAATTAACCGCCGCGTAGGTGGTGACTACGTTAGCGGAGGATTTGCCTTCAGCGGTTTCCTGTCGGTAGTCAAAGGCTTAAAGCGTGAAAGTGCGCATATATCATATTATAATATGATCTTCAATGCTCATCGTAGCAAATACTGATTTTGGTAAACTTCCTTATGAAGAGGAGCCCCATAGTCTAGCAGTGGACTATAACGCACTGTTGCTGATGTATTTAGTAAGCAATGGATAATTTGGACTATCTATTGTGAATTTAAAACATAAATAATTATTAAGTAATTTTTTTTTATGAATGTGAAGGAGTTTTACACTATTTTTGTCTGTCCCAACTATAGGTCCTTAATGTATGACGTGACGTGTTTTTTAATTATATTTTAATTACACAGTAATAACAAATCAATTAAGTTAAACAGACAATGAAAACCAGTTTATTTTTCTAGCGTGTATCTTATGCACATAAATAACTTTGATGTGTAAATAAAACTCTAATAGTCTGTCGTAAACCGTGTTGTCACCACAGAAATATTAAAAAAAGTTTAATATTTCTGTACTTCTTTATTATATCTGTGGTTGTGACGGTGGAGTAGAATTTGGACCATCCATACTCTTGGCGTGGGTATGTATCATAAGTACGATTAACGGTCGAAGTTAATAAGCAATTTCAATCCAAAATCTTCAGGGCGCTTACTCTTGAAACCAATCTCAATGTCAATGCAATTTCAATCCAATATGATCTCAATAATTATTAAATGTCAACACTATACAACCACAATCTTAGCTGTTACAATAGCATTCAGAGTACGGAATATAAAGACAAACTCAATACCATTTAGTTCATTCAATATCTACGCAATACGGATGTAATGGGCTCTAGTATTGCAACTCAAGAGTACGAAATTTCACAATACCAATGTCGATCGATCGGAATTGGATTCAAGAGTAAGCCCCCAGTTCGGTACATGAGGATCGATTTTTGACATTAGTTGTATGGAGTTTCTGTCAAAAACGAAATACCATCCCCTAAATTTGTTCATACAAAAGTAGTCTCTAAACATCGGAAATAAGGTATATAATGTAGTTAGTGGAGAGCGGTCACCGGTGATTGCTTGGGGATAAATGGGTTCAATTCAGAAATTTTGGATTAAGACCAGATGAATTTCCAGTCGTAGAATGTCGTGGTGGCCAGGGGGTTTAAGACGCCCGCTTATCATGCATGTGGGTGCGGGCTCCAAACCTACCAACGGCAAGTACCAATGTGCCTTTTTTCAAGTTATATGTACTTTCTAAGATAATTCAGCCACCATTGACAAACGGTGAAGGAAAACATTGTGTGGAAACCTGGACTTATAATTTCTAATTATAAGATTCAAATCGCCAACCCGCATTGAGCAAGTATGGTGATTAATGCTCAAACTTTTTCCGTGTGAGAAGAGGCTTTTCTTAGGAGTTTATAGGCTGTTAATGTGTGTAAAATTTCCAGTGTTAGGGACTATGCATTTAACAGTGACCGATAGAAATTAGGTATGTCTGAGAACCTGAACACCGAAAAATAAGTTTACTAAAATACAAATAATATATTTTGCTTTATTTTGGTTGTGTGATTCACGAGAATTGTTCACATGCCTGAAACGCGGTGAACTTCTCAATTCGGTTCATGACTGTAGGATTTAGAGTAGATCCTTATATACCTATATAAGTTTGCGGGTTGGGAGGTTGAGGCAGGCCTATCCCACGAAAGAAATTTTCTTATCTACCTACCAATATTATAAAAAGCAATGCAAAGATTACGCTGCTTTGCGCGTCGCAAACTTATAAACAAAACTACATATTATGTAGTTATCGCCCGCGCGCTATCCAGTTGACCTGTAGATAACCTAGCACATTAGTCGTGCATTACAAGTATTTAAATATCTTTCACTTCATATTTTTATAGATTACCAAGAAACGGTAAGAACTGGATCTAGATTTTGAGGAAAACAAAACATGTGCAAAAGTAAGTGTGGGAGAGCCTTGCTTCGGTACGAATGGGCTGGCTCGACCGGAGTGATACCACGGCCTCACAGAAAACTGATGTGAACAACACTTGCGTTGTGTGAGTGACCCCGAATCTACAACAATCCTTAATTTTCTTATCCCCAAAAGTTCGGCAACGCACTTGTAAGTTTGTAACGCCTGTGGTGTTACGGGTGTCCGTGGGTGGCGCCGATTGCTTGCCATCAGGTGATTGTCCCATTAAAAAAGTACAAGAAACGATTTGTCATTCGTTTAATAATAGTTTTCAATTGTCTTGTCGGTTTTAACTTTACCTACTTATGAGTACCTTCACCCAGTTTATAATCTACCGTTCATGGAAATAGGGGCAAACCTAATGCCAAATGCGGGACATTCCATGCTCCCGCGACAAATTGAAGATGATTAATGAGTTTTCTTTATTAAGTAACTTACACAGTAGATTGGAAATTGAAATAGTATTTGCCTATAGTGGGATGTTGTAAAAGTTCTTCTACTAGTATGTACGAGGGTATCTACGATGTTAGTAAGCACCTGAGTAGGGTGTAAGTTAATGTTCTCGCACAATCAAACCAATAAAACTGTGTAACTGAAGAATTGTATTGTGAAACTGATTGGAAAAGAGTATAAGCGTTTAGGTTTCTGACAAATTTAGGTTTTTACACGGGTCACGGACATCTTTACATGGTCTGAACTGTTGAATATTAAAGCTCTTTAATTGTGACCGCAAGTACGTACATCTTCATAAAGGTCAATTGTACCGTACTCAGTGAAGTCCCTAACACTACTAGCTTCCAATTAAATAAGGAAAATATTCACAATTATATGAATATATTTACCAACATGATTAATAGTAAATAGTGAATAAATACCTACTAGTGTACTAAATATTTTGGGTTTATAGAAAGAAGCTCGCAATTGATTAGCAATAAAAATAATAGTAGTTTTTCTGATAAAAAAATTCTTAGGTATTGGAGGTACACAACAAACGCGAATACAAATTTTTCGCATACGCATCGTGAATTTGCAGTCCGAATTGCTCCGACGTGATTCAGTGCAGCAAGGAAATGGGATGCCCTTTCCACGATTCGGGTGGCAATTCAATAGTATTTGGTAGTCTTCTTATGAAAAATAGGTTAATTTCACACGTGATTCAGTTTCTAAATATTGACGCGAAGAATAATTGGTTTTTACCTCGAAAAAACCTGTAATTAAGTACATAGGTTCAATTGAATTATTTACATATGCCTGTTTTGTATGTAATATTTACATATGACTGTTTTGTATTTTGCGTCAAAGCCCATATAGTTAATAGCTGCCTATGATGGCTATATCCATATAGTTAATGTGTTGCAGAACCTAAATTAATTTTAGGTTTTCCACGTCGCGGTTTTTCCGTGGTTAACCGCGAGAAATTGTTATGTCTACATAGGTATTAGATATTACCGATATTCCACGGAGGAGAAAATAAAAGTGTCTTTATGTACGTTATGTACCCACTTTTCCGCATTTTTTTGTGCAATAAGACTTTATTGTTTGTAAACTTAATATAGGTACGGAAAAGGACACATTAGTATTTTGCCAGGTTTTGGAACCATGTTTTGCAACCGGAGTGGATGCCTTAACTTCCGAGCCACCACGAACTACGCCACTTCTTTAAACTAAATAATTGCTCATTTGTTTCCAGCATGCCTAGCCATGACAGCTTCAGCAAACATGTCCCTGGACCCTCAAGCAATCCAAGAGGTGTTTGGCAGGAATGGTTACGCACCACCAGCACCACCACAATCACCTCAACAAGCTGTTCCAGTGACTCCTGCACCACCTAAACAGGTGGTGGCAGTGACTCCTGCACCACCTGCCCCACCACCAGACGACGTCTTCAGCCCAGTTCCCGCTGATTATGACCAATTTGATTGGACGTTGACTAAGGTGAGATAAACTGAAAAATGTTAACTTTTGCTTCATTCAATAATCGTTACATCGTTTATTGGACTCGTCATTGTCTACAAGGGAAAAGTTAAATTGACATTATAGGTAAGTCAGAGTAGGGTTAAACCTAAAGAGCGCTCTAGACAAGCACGTCATAGGCGCCCCAGTTTTTTTGAGTCGTCGACACTCTATGGACGTGAGCGTCTCGCGGCACTCCTCTGTAGCCCGGCTCCCAAGGCATTTGGTTAATTTGCCTTAAGGATAATAGGGCTGATAGGGCTCTGAGCTAAATACTACAGTAATTAATTAGTTACAGATAATCACCGTTTGTTGGTAACAACCCTGTCCTCAGTACTCACTGTCTCAGTAAACAAATGTTTCAAAAACATCTTTACTTTTGATAACGTCAATTGGTTTTAAACGACCAAACTTATATTATCTAGTACTAATTCTGTGTAGTACATAATGAGCTATGCACTATAGGTAGATGGATAAGATTAGGGCATTCATTGAAAAATACATCTTATTTATAAGAGCAGATGGATCAAATTCCATGTAACCATGTAGTAATGTGCTACAGTATATTACTCTGTACCTACTTGTCTCTTTTTAGCATGTGAAATTAATGTCTTTCTTTGGGATAAGAAAAATTATGCACCTAATGCTTTCTTGTTTATTTTCCAGCGAGTGGCAGCAGGCTCAGACAAAAATTTCCTCTTGTCTCCTCTGGGTCTGAAGTTGGCGCTGGCCATCCTCACGGAAGCAGCCACAGGAGTCACCCAGAATGAGCTCTCGTCCGTCCTGGGATTCGACCTAGACAGAAACGTAGTCAGATCAAAGTTCTCCACTATCATTGAGTCTTTACAGGTCAGTCAAGAAAATTGTAACATTTTTAAGATATACGGAAAAATCCAAACTTGCTATAACTGGTCGATTTTAGAAGTAAAACAACATTCCGGTATTCTTTCAGTGAAAGGAAGAAGGGGATGGGAGATTTGTGCCATATTTATAAATGAATATTTTTTCCGAAATTAGTGGGCATTGACTCCATCCACCGCATCCTTCTTACCCTCCGGTTTATAGGAACCCTTGAAATAACATTTTGCTGAACTTTTACAAAAGAAAAAAGTCTGAACCACAATGTTTGAAAGATAATATAGAATGTAGGATAACATTTTATTTATTGTATTTATGTGTTAAACTTAAAAATATTACATATATACATACAACGATACGCCTTTTATCCCCGAAGGGATAGGCAGAGGTGCACATTATCCCACTGTATAATGTAACACCCACTTTTCACTATTTATGTTATGAGTCCCATGTACCTATTACATGGGTGAGCCTATTGCCATATACCGGGCACAATTCCAGACTACTGAGAATTAAAAAAAAACCCAGTAATACTTTGCCTGACCCGAGTATTGAACCCGAGACCCCTTGCCCGGCAGTTACATTTGCGTTGCGACCACTCGATCAACCAAAAAATATTTTAAATATAATATATTTTATTTTCATATTATGTATTTTCGGGGTCAAGTAATTTAAAGCGTTTTTCTGTGTCATGAGAATAGAATAGAGGTACAATTATACCGTAATGTTTGTTAGCGGCCATATTTGTAGGGGGTCAATAGAACCATTTGGAAAACCTTTATAATTGAGAGTACTCGATGAAATTATATGTTAATAGTTCATCAAGTAGTTCATAGGCTCACCCCCTATTACATGGGACTCATAACGTAAATAGTGAAAAGTGGGTGTTACATTGTACGGTGGTAATGTGCACCTCTGCCTACCCCTTCGACTTCGAGGATAAAAGGCGTGATATTATGTATGTTCATCAAGTAAAAATAAATGTAGTTTTTATAAATGTGACTATTTAATGTAGATATGTACCTACTTATTACTTAGGACCGATTTTTCAATCATCAGTTAATTGTTAACTGAGGTATAACTATGAATATATTTTGACAATTCTTCCATACTAAAAACTGTCAAATGCCAATTTTATTCTACAGTTAAGAATTAACTGATGTTTGAATAATCGGCCCTTAAAATATCGCGCGGCGAACTAGAACGCTGGCTAGTTGACGGGGTATGCTCATAAAGTTGTAAATGTTCATAAGGTTCAATATATAAATAAAAATCTATGAGATAACGACCTTGAAGTGAGTGTCCAGTTTACTGGCCGCTTTGTATGAGCCGTCCTATAAAGGGTTCTGTTTAGGTGGGTAGGGGTTGCATACCATACTGGCAATTTTCCTCCAATTCTGCAGCTTTCCATTACCGCGTCATACATATAAATAAAACGTACGAAACTTACGTCAAAGAAGAAAAAGTTTAAGGCTGTGGTTTACTATATACTATACTATATTACCTAAATGACGTCATCATACTATCCTTGACATACACTAGCTAATCGCATAATAGTGTATTTCCTGAATAATATCTACGCTAAGGAAACTGCATCTTAAACATAAAATAGGTATAAATAATATGCATCACACGAGTTCACGTTTCGTTGTTTGGTTTTCCGAAAATTCAGTAGTAGCTTAGTCAAGAATAGGGCTGTCCAAACTATATACCCTCGCGGGATAATTAAATTGCTTACAAAAGCTGGAGGGCAAAAAAAAATATTTCAGTTATATAGTGACGTTTAAAATTGTATTCTTTACTCACAGACTTGAAGAACAAACTTGTAGACAAATCATACACTGAATTTTATTATTGTTGATATAAGATGAAGATTTTGAGATTAAAACGTGTGTCGCGGGCTATATGAAAACAAGCCGGGCCTCTGTTTGGACAACCCTGGTCTAGAACATGCTTAGTATAGGACAATAGGCTCAACCCCTATTACATGTGACTCATAACATAACTGGTCAAAGGTGAGTTTGTTATTGTATAACAGGTGTATTTTAACCAAAAGTATACATAGGCAAGGCCCTTTGGCGAATTATAAGTCTGAAGTTATAATTATCATCATCATCATCAACAGCCCTTAAGTGGCCATTGCTGACCAAAGGCCCCTTCTCAGGTAGAGAAGGTTTGAGTATTATCACTACGCTTGCTTAATGCGGGTTGGCGATATCAAACTTATAATTAGAAATTATAAGTCCAGGTTTCCTCACGATGATTTCCTTCACCGTTTGTCAGTGGTGTCTAAATAATCTCAAACTCAAATTCAAACTCTTTATTTGCATGTTAGAAAGTACATGCAATTCAGAAAAAGTCACATTGGTACTTACTATTGGTAGGTTTTGAACACGCACCCTCATGCATTAGAAGACCGCCGGGCCACTAAAACATACATATAACTATAAATCCCTCTAAATCATAATTTTTGTCTTCCAGAAAGAGTCACCATACTACATTCTAAACTTAGGCAGCAGGATCTACGTCGGTGACAATACGCATCCGCGACAGAGGTTCGCAGCCATTGCGCAGGAGTTCTACAAGACTGAGCTGAAGAATGTCAACTTCAACAACCCGGCCGTTGCCTCCAAGGAGATTAACTCCTGGGTTTCGAATATCACACAGGGACACATACCCTCGCTGGTGAACGAAGGTAGGTGAATATCTGGCGATAAACATGAAAAGAAGATAGAAATAACACAGACGTAAAAACATACACACACATTGATATTTGGCAGATTTCTTCAAACGCTGATATAAACTAACAAAGGAAATATTACATACATAGGGGTCGAATTAATAACCTCCTTTTTATGAAGTCGGTTAAAAATGAATTCTATCAGCAACCTCTCTTTAAATAGGTGGCAAAGGAGCAAATGGCACATCTGATGGTAAGCAATCAGCGCTGTGTATGGACACCCGCAAAACAGGGAAGAGAACTTTCGCCCTCTTTACCCGGATAAACAGTAGTCCACGATAGTGTTATTCTTGACTATATCGTATCTTTTCTCCAACCGTTCAGATCCGTTCAGTAGTTTTTACGTGGAATCTTACACTATTATATAAAGCTGAAGAGTTTGTTTGTTTGAACGCGCTAATCTCAGGAACTACTGGTTCGATTTGAAAAAATCTTATGGTGTTGGATAGTCCATTTATCGAGGAAGGCTATAAAACATTACCCTACGATCATTAGGCATTAAGCAGAGCGGTTAAAACCACGCGAAAGTAACTATAGTAATAACATATGCCGCGAAGAACCGGGTTACCGGGGCTCCGGCTGAAAACGTGCCGTAAAAAAAGTAATAACATTTAACATACATACATCCTCGCTTTCGCATGTGTAATAAAGATTCACATGATTCACACAGGTGCATTAACCTATCCATGTTTCCGCACTCCTGTCAGTACAATGCACAGGATGTGTAAATCATTACCGGTGACCCAATCCCTCCTCATCCAACACCGGAAACGCACTTATCTTTTCTGGTGTTGCAAATGTCCAAGGGTACCAATTGCCAGGTGACTCGCCTGTTCGATTACTTACCAAGCTCATAAATATCATAAAAATAGTTACTGTATCATAGTATTCATACTAAACTATTTAGTATGCTTTAATAAAGGTACGGAAGGAAATACTTATGTACGTAGTTTGTGTTAGCACATTGTTTGAGTGCGCATTCATTCATTATTTTAACTCGCCGATGTAAATTACGATGATACACAATACCTTTATTGTTTATTGTTACATTGCCTCTGTGTGAAACTACTGCTGAATAATTATTAACTCATTACGTTAGATTTCAAGCTAACATTGAACTAGCAAGCTAACATAGGCATTTAGGATTAAAGCTTTTTATATTTACCCGAAAAATATAATTATGACGTTCTAAATGAACAAAGGTCTTCGCTAGTAACGGACGTATTCAACATACTACTCGATCTCGACTCTGATGATGCTGTCAGGGTACCAGCAACTTCATTTCATTATTATAACCTAAATTAATAATACAATATTTTCCTTGTTTACAGATGACGTAGCCAACATGGTGGTGCTGGTGCTGAACACCCTCTACTTCAAGGGTAGCTGGTATCATCAGTTCCCTCCCAACGCCACTCATTTTGGAAAATTCAACGTCTCACCGCGCCTTGTGTCGTACGTCGATTATATGAACGTCAACGCCAAATTTTTCTATACCGAGTCTACTAAATACGACGCTAAGATCTTAAGGATGCCTTATTTGGTAAGTAATTTTTTACACATTACGTATTTTATTTATCGTGTTATTGATTGATAAGACAGTTTATCAAATCAATATAATAACGGCTAAAATTAATCACCGATGTAATCCCCATATCGATGTTTGTTTTTGAAAGAAACTTATATCAAAATCTATAGCTGAGCTTATATCAAAACCTTATCTTAATTTATAAAGATCGGTTGATGGACCGTAAGTTAACTGAGGAACTGAGGAACCTAGGTGTCTTCAAGGCCTGAGTGAATAGTGCTTATTGGACGACGTGCTTCATCGTAAACCGCATCATCGCTTACCACCAGGCGAGATAGTGGGCAAACGTCGGCCCATCAAATATAAAAAACTAACTATTTATCATAATTAAAGCCAATTTTACATTGAACAAATAATTCTTAACTCTAAAATAAAATTGTTGTGTCATTCGACAGTTTTTACTTTGGAAGGATTATCAAAGTTATTCCAGGGATAATAGCTGACGTTGGAATAATCGGCTCTGAGACTCAAAAAATTGTTGCTCAGTCCTTTGCCCTTGTATAAAAGCCTGATTACCTATATAGCGAGGGTTGTTTTCTATAAAATGTTGTAGTTAGAATAAAGTGTATTTTTTATTCTATTATACTCATTACTCGTTCTTATGCATTCCTTACTTACTTTGCAGGGTAACAAATACGCCATGTATATCATAGTGCCCAACTCACTGCTGGGTCTACCACGAGTGCTGAACGACATCGGTGGTCTTCGCCAAGAGCTGGACAATCTTAGGGAGTACACCGTTGACGTGACTCTGCCCAGGTTCCAGTTTGACCAAACTTCGCAGTTAGATGGAATTTTGAGAGAGGTATTTATTTATTTTATTTATGTACACTTTATTGTACACGATTAAAATAACAACAGTGTGGAAACACCTTTAAATTATACGTTTGACTACACAGGAAACCTTACCGACTTATCAAAGAAAATGACAAAATATTAATTTTGATAATTTAAAGAAAGAAACTTCTTCCCTTATTTTCATTTTTTTTTCTGAACAGGGATAAAATATGATTGCAAATTAAACAAGTGCTTGTTTCTTATTTCTTTTTTGCTAAAATCACATATCATAATAATATTGTTATTGATATCAAAAGAGCTGGTTATGTTGATGAGAATTCAGAGCGAATTAGTTTCGTTGTTGAATAACTGGTTTCCGCAAACGGTTTCTGGAAGAACTTGTTCATTTTGATTTGGTTTTTGAGTCACGAAATTCTGATTGTATCTCAATTTACCTGGGGTCAGCAGAAAAAATCATCTGATTAAATTTTATACTATTAGACGTCATTTTAGCACATGTACATATGACGTAGGTAAATAAGAATTCAAAAGATATGGGTACATCATCTTCTGACATTATTCATGTTTTTTATTGCCACCGGCTTTTCCTGGTAGTTTTTTATTATAAACAAAATTGTATTACGGTGTCATTAGATTGCTAATGATATTGGAAATCAACACAAAATTTTATAATGTACTTCCTTTAATCGTCTAGTTGTTGTGAGAATGGCAGTTGTTCTAATAAAGTGTAGAAAATTACTTTCTATTACATCGTGTTGATGAGAGCCTCATATGAAGTATCTTTTCTTGCAAATGAGGACGTTTCAAATATTATATGTTGTAGAAAGCTACTGCCTTGTGGTCGGTTACTTACTCACTTCTTAAGAATTCTGAAGCTCTCAGAACGTGACCTTTTGATTTTTCCTCAATATTTACATAAGTACGAAGAACCGATCGCTTCGTACATTAACTTAATATATTATTCTGAGTGGTCTATGACGTCATTGGCTCTATCCTGGACTACCGAGACAGTAAGAATCAAGTCGGTCGGTCAATCGGTAAAGTCTTGCGTTAAGTTAGTATAGGGAATTTCCGGTATACAACAAAATTACTCAGTCCAAAATACAATATTTACCTAGCAGTTCGCTCGACCTAGGAATAAGAATTCGGAACCGAGGTCTTGGCTTGGTTGTATTTAGGCATGAGTACGTAATAATCACTTTTTGCATGTTTACTCTTGAGTACGTTTATATACTTCATTCGATAACGAACTTTCGGTAGGCCTCCTTTAAAAAAAATATATTAAAATATTAAATGTATCCAATTTTTTCTTTACAGTTGGGAATAAGAGCAGCATTCGAGGACACGGCTTCCTTCCCAGGCATCGCGCGCGGTCAGGATATGGACCAACGACTCAAAGTATCGAAGGTGCTGCAGCGGGCTGGTATTGTAGTCAACGAGCTCGGCAGTGTTGCATACTCTGCTACAGGTATGTTAGAAATGTATTCATAAGTTGACTACCAACTACCAAAAGAACTGAATGCCACTCATTTTAAGGATATACTTAGTAGACTTGTTTACAAAATATCTATCTGCAGTATGATAATAGAGATAGGTATAATACAATTCTCATCACCATCCTTATTTTCATCGCGGCTGTCATATAAGACACTACATATTTGACAGAGAACTGGCAGCGTTTTCTAAGAAAACTATTGCCAAGCGTATCAGTAATGGTAAACCTATTTATCTAGAGGGTATAGACCCTACCCAATTTATGTGCTGCTGGACTATAGAGTCCAGCAGCACATAAATTGGGTACTTGTCTACTAGTAAAATTCAATACTCTTTTCGAACTGTTAGAAACGACAGTTTTCTATGAATTTTGTACGAGATTGTGTATTGTGACGTCACGTTTTTTTAGCGTTAACAGCATACGTATTTCTTAAAAATTTGATGGAAAAATACTAAATCAATGAATGAAAGTGTACCTAATTATTTTTTTGTATTTTATTGTATTGAACAGTCGAAATTATTTATTTTTGATTAAGGCCAGTACTCAATTGCCACGAGTTGTTAATGATGATGATGACGATGATAATGAGAGTGATGACCTAGAATCCCATTATAGGAGATTAACCTATAAGATATAACTCGAACTTCCCTACCATTTTAGAAAATTGGACACTAAAACATTATACGACGATGCGATATCTGGTACTTGCTTGCAACCTGTAAATTCATGTTTGATAATGACCAACTGACCAAGAAAGTAGTTTTTAAAAATATGTTTTTTTTTAATGAGTAAACTTATGTTTTTTACCTTCTATTAACAGAAATATCGCTGGTGAACAAATTCGGTGAGGATATTGAAGCTACCGCAGAGGTTGTAGCTGACAAACCATTCCTGTTCTTCATTCAAGACGAAGCCACCCGGCAGTTGCTCTTCACTGGTCGTGTTTCTGAACCACATGGTCAAGATGGAGTCCTTAAAGTATAAGTTGATAAGCTGTTCTTCATAAGTTATAAAATAAATTATGTGTGATAAAGATTTGAATTAAAATATTGTATTTTCGTAGTCATTCAGCGCCATTTGCTTGAAAAAGTTTGTTACTTATTTTGAAAGATCTCTTGATGTTTTGTTTTGCACTTTTGTTTTTAAAAGGTGAATAATAATTTCTCGAGAAAATCAAAATGTAAATACAGATTCCGACTGCTAGTTGATGTGACAAATTGATAAAAAAATGTATACAAATAGATATTTAAGTTAAAATAAATGATAAATATTTTTTTTTATAACAACCGCTTACAACCGACGAAAGAACAAATTCAATACTTAGTGCCATTTTTGCGTATGTTGGATAATTGAATATTGAAAGAAATGCACGAAAATATACGATGATTGTAATAAAAGATGATTTTTATTTTTCACCGCCATCCAAAATCATAATCGTCCAATCATTGAACTTTATTCATTTGTACAAGAACATAAAAAAAAGAAAAGGACTGTCAGCCTTTTGTCATATTCAAATAAGGAATTGGATGCCAAATCAACCGACGATCATGATATTGCCACAAAAAAACTAACAAAAACCCAAAGCAATTAAAATCACGTTTCGACGTAAATACCCTCAAGCTAGAACATGTTTGGTGTTTAATACTAAAAGGTATTATGTATTAGTCACCTTACTGCTACGTCACAACGGTGTCTTGCACACTTCCATATACTTCCAAGCCAGTGCGTGTGGTAGACGAGGTCTGACGTTACCTGTTCGTGTATTAAAATTATGTGAATAAATATAAAGAAAGAAAAATGCGTCCATTTATAGCCATTGGTAAGTAATTATTCGATAGTATTTTGTTTATTATCCCTTTTTTGTGTTGTTGTTGTTTTCAATAGATAATTACAATCTTTTTTCTCTAATGCAATATCTTACGGATATGTTCTTTAGTTTGTGTATTTTTTAACCTTGTAATTCAATACAATCATTAATGATATTGTAAATAAATAAAACATGTTTTAAGCCAGTTACTGCTTATTGCAGCTACGTGTTACAAGTAAAGCGTAACCAATATTTTGTTAGGAAAATGATCTTGTTTGTTCTTACGATTATAATCGTAAGAACAAACAATTAGGCGTATACGCCTAAACAACGAAACTGATTTTGATGAATTATGTATATTATAGGGTACCTTTGTCGTAGTATATTTATTTGACTTTCAAGTTAAGTCATGTGTAAAAGTTTCATATGTCATTGATTTATTTATAAATTGTAGGATATCGGTTTTTCATATCTTTACAATAACCTTCTCTAAGTAAAACCGGTATCAATAACAATATTGGCAATGATAGCAACGTGTTGATTGTTGTGTAGAATCCATTTAGGCATTAATTTATTTATAACTCGAAAACCAAAGTTAAGACATTCCTATATCTTTGATATTCTAGACAACGTGCATATTGGTAAATTGTCTAAAGTATAGGCCTATTAGTTATTAAATAAGCTCTACTGCTTTTTTGGTACCACTGCGTCCTGAAGGTTGGCCGTCAGCTTTTCGAATTGGTCCTTGTCATTAGCTAGACGGAAAAGTTGTTCACCAGAGTTGACATAGGTCCACTCCCGGATATTGCGTAGCCACGACTTTTTCATTCGCCTAGCGCTTTTCTTCCCTTCTAACTTTCTTATCATTGTATGATGAAGTAGCATGTATCTCTCGTGTCTGATTAGACCCATGCTACTAATGAGGAACAGGAGGAGTTACTACGCAGGAACTTGTATATCTAGACTTGATTTGAAAATCATTATAAATAGTCCCAAAAAGAGCAAAATGCTTTAAAACCCACATGAGTAGTGTTTTAACCCGAAGAATGAAAATAGATCGAAACTGGTCTATCATCTGATTTTAATTTCCTTTATAACAATATTATTATATACCTCAACGCTTGTGTCAATTTAGAAAATTGCATTTTCACTAAGTATCTTAAAGACACCATAACAATCTAATCAATATTTCCTAATTTAATTCCAGTTCTAATCTTCGCTTCGATCCAAAGTTTAGACTGCCTCACTGGTGCTTCTAATTCACGCCTAAACTATTTTGACATCGACCTCCTTCGATATGTCGCTGAAGGCAAGAGTGGGAACGTGATGGTGTCTCCAGCCAGTATCAAGTCCACATTGGCGATGTTACTGGAAGGTGCCCAGGGAGCAACGGCTGCAGAGATACAGACTGCACTAAGACTGATACCTAATAAGGACGATTATAGAGAACAATTGAGTGAATTCATGAGGGATTTAGAGGTAATGGCTTTTTATATTTTTCCTACCTTCAAATAATTTGGAGCTGGAAAAGGTCTACGCAGGTACCAGATTTTGTTTCGAAACATCGTAAAATTTTCTGTCTGCCTTCCTTATCTTACCAAGGTGTTATTTGCATTAGTTAAGACCAGTCTATGACAAATAGTGCGAAGCCATTAACTATTTCCGAGAAACTAAGAAATCTAGGTGTAACTAGTGAGATAAAAAGTGGTTTCTCATTCATAAATCGACTGCAACAGGCGTGGCTTTAAATAGCTATCGAGTTCTTGATTAGTCCTGAGATAGCAAAATTATATTATAATTATATTATAATTTTGCTATGTGGGCAAACGACACATCACCTGATGGTAAGCAATTAGCAGTGGCCATGGTCATACGAAACACCGTGGTGCGTTTTAGAGTTGGAGATTTCTACTTGTAGATACTTAGAGGTTTAAATATTCTATGGGATATTCCAAGCTTCATCGAACTCCAGAAAGTCGTTCTGAAACTAGTTTAATGCTCTTAGAGGCTGTAGTATTAAACTATTAATAGAATAGAAGGGTTGTTGGGGATTCCCGTACTAGAGTCCGTGGAACGTTCCTCAGGATGTTGGGTTTTTACTTTCTATACCAGATATAAATGTAAGATTGTGTATAAATATAGTAACTTACCTTGAAAACAATTAATCTAAGGTAAACTACATGTGATTCTACTTTATGTAGATATATATAAATGTAAACGGAACATACATGTATATGTTCCGTAGACAACAACATAATTGTTTTTAATATATGGGATCATACAAAGACACTGCCTCGTTGATCGAGGTCAATATTACTGATACTAGTATACAACTGGGTTTTAAAAAATTAATGTTTGGAATTGTGCCCGGTATATGACAATAGGGTCATCCCCTATTACACAGGACTCATAACATAAATAGTGAATAGTGGGTGTTACATTGTACAGTGATATTAAGTGCCGTGCCGTAATGGGCACCTCTGCCTACCTTTTCGGAGATAAAAGGCGTGATGTTAAGTTGTGTGTACAAACAAGTTATGCACGAAGTTATGCTGCGCAAATCTTTCAGTGACTTATATCAATTATTTTTGATAGCTATCTAAAATTTCACACTCAAAGTTCCCAAATACTGTTTCAGATAAACTCATCAGGTGTGACGGTAAACAATGCAAATGGACTGTTCGTGGCAAAGCAATTGCAGCTGAAGAAAGAATACGAGATGTTAGCGAAACGTGTGTACTTCTCTGAAGTAAACAAATTAGATTTCAATGACCCGCGGACTGCCGCCGATGTGATCAATGGTTGGGTCAACAGCAAAACTAGAGGCTTGATACCATCTATTTTAGATCAAGGTGAGGAAACAAGAATAGTTTTTATATCAACGTAACTAAGCTACACTTTCTGATGCACTCTTACTTGTCTCCCAAGGAAATGTGCTACACAACAAGATGAAAATTCTGTATCGGTCCCTTGCTGGACTTTATAATCCCATTAATGGCAATGGAGTTTCCATGCCTCCAATACAAAAAAGGGTTTGGTTTCCGTAATTTTTACGCTTGACAACTTTTACTTTTAATCTAACCTTTGTAGGTACCTGACCAACATGACAGTGAATTTTAACATAAATAAATATTGTTATAATTTTTCGAAAATATTTTCCATTTTCTTATTTTTTTATATTTAACATTTCAGCTCACATCAATCCTAAGACAGAGTTGTTGTTGACAAACGCCCTCTACTTCAAGGGTATTTGGCTCAACGAATTTGACCTCAAGCAAACCCATGGAGACTGTTTCTATAGGAATAGTGTTTGTAAGACAGTCGCCATGATGAATTTGGAAGCAGAATTAAACTATGCCTATGTGGATAACCTCAGAGCTCATGCTTTGGAACTGCCTTATCAGGTGAGTTAGGAAAGCTTAAATACTTATCAAAGATGAAACATGGTGTAAGGTTAATAAAATATTAGATTCTTATCTGAAACAATGCTTTTATTTAAACTCTTTCGGTCTCCCACCTTTCTGCGAAAAATATTTTACGAAATAATTAATTAAGGGGTTTCGACCATAAGTTGTTCATGTCTTTTATGAGTATTATTTATATTATTACATCAAGTTTTATGTATTTTGTTACATTTATCATGTTTATTAGTGTTAGGACCATATATAATTAATTCAAGTGTCTCATTTCGATTCAAGCATCTTCCTCTTTCTTTTACTATCTATAACATTACTATGTTCTTTCACAAAATCAAATTCTTTTCTTTCCAGAATAAGCGTTATTCAATGATGATCCTCGTGCCTCAAGATCGTGATGCTGGACTGGCCCTCATCCGCGACCTTCCCTACATCGGATTGCTGCAAATATCCAAGATCTTGGAGCCCACTGACGTCGTTCTCACGATGCCTAAATTTACTGTTGAGTATGGTGACGATATGGTGGCACCTTTGAAGAATGTAAGTATGCTAACATTACATCTTATATCCTTCATGAAATGTGCTTAATATATCACCTCTGCTTCCCTGTTGTAAGTAGTACTGGAAATGTATACTTTGACCGACAAGAAAAAATTAAGACTTCGCGATCTTCACACGATTTTGTGGCCACTCATCGAGCAAAGACTAGTTAATTATCGTGACTATCTCTGTATAATAGTAATAATTACGTGCTAAAGCTAAATAATTTCAACATTTTCAGATGGGCATATCGACCCTGTTTTCTCCTGCTGCAAACCTGTCAGGCATCATTAATGGCGCAGAAGTTCATTTGAACACCATCTTTCACAAGGTCTACATGGCTGTTGATGAAAAGGGAACTACCGCTGCAGCAGCAACTGCTGGGCTCGTGGTACCTCTGATTAACAATTTTGTACAACTTCGTGTTGATAGACCGTTCCTCTTCTTCATTTGGGACAATGAGAAAGGTGTCGTCCTTTTTGAGGGAAAGGTTGAAGAGCCCACGGAGTTTGTTGCTCTTAATAATAAATACGGTACGTATTTGTTTTAAAATAATATCATAATGGAATAAAATTAGTAATTTGCTTTACACATTTTGCTACATTGCCTCAAATAAGTAAACAATAAAGTAATGTTGAATGTGGTCATGTTTTTGAATGGGGGTTTTCTAAGTAAATTTATACTTTTTTCCAGGTCAGCCTCAAAACACCCCAGTTCCAGTTCCCGCTCCCGCTCCCGCTCCCGCTCCCGTTCCCGTTCCAAACCAGGTTATTCCAAATGCTCCTCCAAAGACCAACCAGCAAAATTTAAGACCAATCGAACAAATTCTAATCCAGCCAATGATAGATCAACTCATGTATAGCCACCCTCCTCAGCCATCAAACCAACTGATTCAACCACCAAACCAACCACTTCAATCATCAGACCCACAGATTAAACCAGAAAACCAACCAATTCAATCAGCAAATTTACCGATCCAGCCAGTAAACCAGCCAAATCAGCCATCAAGTCATCCAACACAGCCTACGAGTCAACCGACTACCGAACATGCCACGACGACATACAATCCTCCGTCAAGAAAAAGTCAGACAAACTGGTTCCAAAAAGTTTCCAGTTATTTTGGTTGATTAGTGATTTAATTAGTTTGAGTACCTTAAGGTAATTTTAAGTTTTATATTATTTAGACATAACTTCATATTATAAATGAAATTATTATAATTATATCTTTTACTGTAGTTTTTTTTACTTTATGTAATAAAATGAAAATATTGACGCTCAATTAAAACACCAACAACTAATATTTAGCACCCAAATAATATTAAAATCGACCCCTAATGTTCATTTTCTAGAAAATATCATTGTATTTTCTTGTGGTTTTAGTAATTTTTGGTCATATTTTGAATTAATGAATTGAGAAAATATCTCTTTAGGAATTGTAAAGTCTACTATTACAAGTAATAAACTGAGGTTTGAACAGGAATCCCACGTAACTGGGTGGTTACTGGCAAACAAGAGTCTATCAAATGAGTTAAAAAGTTATTGGCAGATAAAATACTGAAGAGTGTTAGGACATCCATCTACGAAACTGGTTTTGCTTTGGTATTTAAGTTGCATTAATAGTTCTGCATAGTGATTCATGTCAGTACATACTTAATAATATATTCTAAAATCGGGTCATGAACCGGATTGTATCAGACAAATTGTTATAAAAGTTCCGAGGTCAATTTTTTTTTAAATTTTCAATACAATTTTTAATTTGATTGCTATCATAAAATTGTATCAATTATAGTTATTTGTATTATATGTATGACATTGCGTTTAATGTTTATCCGGTGTGTCAAACGCAAATTATTATGAATATTGCAAAAATGCTGTTATATAAATTGTAAATCTATTTAAGCACAATAACTTTTTCGTGGGTCCAGTGCCCGCGAAGGAGAATTGTTTTGGGTTCTTGTAACAGATTAGAGTCAATTTTTATTTGAGGGGGGAAAATCATCCAATGACTTCTCCAGCCCGGGTGAGGCGAGAGGGAGTGTCAGACTCTTACTGACTTCCTGAGTTGGGCAATACGTATGGCTGAAATTAGTGTCTGTACTTATTTCATAACAGATTTCTTAAAACGGAGTAAGTATTGAGTTCAGTCTATTATTAGACCTTGCTAACTTCTGGCTGAATGAGCTATAAAAATAAATAACATAACTGATTCTCAGTGGAAAGAAAATAAAAATTGATTAATACAAGTAGGTGAGTATTTATTAGACAGTTGATACCATCTTGTTTATTACCTTCATAGTCAATCAACACGACTTCTTACATCGTGATAACCTCATTTTTTGTAGACCTGGTCATCGCATTCTACTTCCTATGTATAGTATTAAAATCACGACCTTTAATTCTAAAAGATTTCACTGATATATTGATGTTCACAGTTCATACTAATTGGGGTTCAAAGTTACGAGAGAGGAGTGCAACAAAAAATGATATATTTGGTACAATAAATAGGTCGTATAATGATATCATCTGCTTTCTTTAGTTCCCTACGAGGTTGAAGTTGGCACCCTTATGGCAATTTTAACCAGATACATCTGCATGATCAGATTTTCCGTTTGCCCAAATGCTACATAACTAGGTTTTGGGTCACTAAGTTTCATTCAATTTCGACTGCGTGGATTTTTTACCTACGATTTTTTAACTTATCTGATAATAATAGATGATATAAATATGGCAAAACGAGGATTGATACAAAATAAATTTGGATAAATTCTAAAACCCGTGATTGACCTTTACCGGAAACGTATTTTTTTAATCTATGTAGTGGGTCGGGGTTTCGCCACCGTCTCACCTGGTAGTAAACGATGATGCGGTCTATAAGCAACCTATGCACTCGGGCCTTGAAGACACCCAGGTTATATATTTAAATATAAAAGTACCAGCACTACTCGATAAAGACCCTTTTGTTAAAGACTATTTTCACGCCCAAAAGCCCTATTTTCAGATTTTTGACAACATTCTAAGTGTAGAAGTTTCCAGATGGAAATCCACGAAAATGAGCCCAGCCGTTCAATAAAAACAGCTATAGTAAACACGTTCTTGTTTTGTATTTTGCAAAAACAAGCCTTTAATATATTAAAATAAAAACTCATTAGTTACTTCAAAACGGAGTCAGTGGGACACATCTTAAAATATACAACTTGTACTCTAAAATGTAAATGGGATACTATTCTGGTCAGCAAATAAATTCATTATATCAACTTAAAGTATCTTTAAATCATTTCAGCCGTGCTTGGAAACAAGCTTCATTTTAAAAGTGGGATTTTAGCACACTTGGTTACCTACTCGAGTCCTTTCGTCTGCATTGGGACCGATTTATTTGGCACGAAATAAATTTAGCACCAATTTTGTTTACTTCTCTTCAAATACAAGAAACGATTTGAAACACTAGTCTTTTTGTTGAAGTATGGAAACAATTTTTATTTTAATAGTGTAATATACGGTGGACCAAAATGCTAATTAAGTCTAAAAAGACTGAAAGAAAGGAACTTATATTTTGACTTATCAAGTTCAAATGTGGACCAACATGTTGCATTTCTTAATCTTGCTTTACAGGAGCTGCTGTGGTTTTGGTAGGTTACAGCAGGGATGCTCATATAAAAAAAATCGTATTCAGAACTCAGAATAGATTTCACATGATCTCATCATAAAATCGAATGAATAAAACCTTACCTTTAAGAGCTCTTTGAAATCCTCCAATCCAATTAAAATAAAAATTCAATAGTTTTTGTCAAACCGACCAAACTGTTCTGGATACCATTGGTATGTGGTTGTGATCGAACTTTTCAAAAATAAACAAAAATTCTGATGTATGAATTCAGGCCAAAACCATCCAATTAGATTTCTGAGAAGGGCATAGAAACTAAATATCATTATGGGCAGGTAAACTTGCCTCTGACCTTAGTTTTTTATAGAAAAAAAAGGTATGGAAACATAAAAGTATAACTTATAGTATTTTATATGGAAACGAGCAGTCTGAAATAAATGGTAAGACAAAAATTAAACTTTGTTATCAATATTAAGTTTAAATATTTTCTGTTTACTGAAAGGGTGGAAAGTTAATTATTATCAGTTTTAAATAAAGAATCTTAAGGACATTCTTTATTCAAAAGCAAGATTAATACATCCAAATAAAAAAATAAATAAAGACAACTGACACAGATAGAAAGACACCGTTCGAAATTCGAAATCGAAAAGCACAACAACACTTTTCTCAACTCAGCAATGCTTGATTAAATAAATGATGTGCTTGGTAACAAAATCTTCTAGAATCTTAAGCGGTGTTTGGAATGATCTTGAACAGTGTAGCTTGAAAGTCGTGCACACTTCAACTTAATAACTTGATAGTAGGTCAGTATGGTATGTGCGGAAAATACCTAGTATCTAAGTTTAATGAATAGAAAGAATAGGTAAAAGTAATATTAAAGATTTAATGAATTAAAAATTAAAGAATAGGTAAAAGTAATATTAAAGTTTTTATTTCCCAAAGAGACAGGTGTACCTATTTAACACCCTCATTTTACCAGTATTGTGACCTACTGTGATGAAGGACGACTGTTACGAAACATCGGGTAATAGTTCTGTAATTTCTCATTCAATTAAGAATCTTTGAGCTTGCTTGTAATTCTCGATGCCGACTAAGTTCCGAGCTCAACCGTAGCCCTTTGGTAAGCGCTGCGTACACGATGATAATCGCGTAGCAAACTGAGTCGCATGCATATTACTGCTCCTAATTTAGTATGCGGATCATTCATAAGAGTTGTTATATAAAAATAAACTCTATCAACTTGATTTTACTAGATGTTGATTCGAAGTTCAATTAACAGTATAATTGTGTGAGTAGTCTAATCATACGAATATGCATGTCTGTCAATCACTCACTTCGATTAAGTCTTTTTAACTTTCCAAAGCGTTGATTAGGTCTCTCGGACTAGGACCGTGCGAGACTTTGCCTCACCATTTCTTTTCTAATTACCCATATTCTGACAGTTTGAGTATTTGTGCGACCCACGCAAATGTTCTTTAGGTTGGTATTGTTCGTCGAATCAGTCAGCCTCACCTGTTAATTGAGCCGACTGTAAACCGACACATGCGTACTGCCTTCAGAACGGGTCCGCTCAAACTGTTGTGGTTCTTTCCTCAAAAGGCCACTACAGAAAGAACTTGCACGGTTCTCACTCATAATCTTTTATACATATTGTCTGGACTTTAAAAGAGACAGACCTCTGAGTTTGTTTCGGCATTTCTTCTCAGAGTAGTCAGTTAGGAAATGTCGACCTCATCGTTCGCTTGATAAAATTGACGTGTAAAAGTGCTGCCTTGTAGCCTATTTGCTGAAATAAATTCACTTGTTTCACTTGTTTCACTAGGTTTTTAAGTGTTTTTTTTATTTGCTTTTTTACAAGCATGCAGTGACATTTTATTTTGAAATTGAAGAGCTATTTATATTATGTTTTACCATCTTTTGCTTTATGAAAAGTTATAAACAAATCAATTTATCATAGGCGTGTGGTTAGCATAGATGACTCGAGCGAGCTATTTATGCTTAAGCACTCCTAAAATGCGTACTCTTTTAATCGGGCATAAGCCCTAAGACTGTTTAAACGAGCTATGCCCCATTTCCGTATGGAAATATAATATTTTCCTAACTCACAAACACCATACTCACAGATTTTTTCTGAACATATATCCAACATACATATTTGTCCTAATTTCCTTTTATAAATCATACCTTGATTTTCTGGGTCATTGTTTGACCAGATGCTAATATTTATAGTTGTTACACCTACTTTGCTTATTTATTTCGACATTTTCAAGAATACAATGGATACTTTCTTTTCTGAACAATATACCTATTAACTAAGTAGAACTACGAACTAAGTATGATTTATGCAACAAAACGTATATTATAATACGTTTTGTTGCGAACAATTTTTTGTCTACATTTAATAGAGTAATAAAAGTGTTGAAACCGAAAATCTAACGTTTATTTATCTTGAGTTTTATAGAAATTGCAAAATAGATATTTAGACCACCTGTGTATTTATTATTTGAAGATGAGGTTAGTCCTTAA